AGAAATCCTGTGACAGAGAATTTCCTTCCTACTGTTTTGTTCCCATCATTTCCATCTCCATTACTGCCGAATTACTCCTGATGATTTGGTCCGCGTGTTGAGTCCTCACTCTGTGGATCTCCTGCTCCTGTGGAAAAGTGTTAGAAGTGTTGTTTTCTTGGAAAACAAAGAAGAATAAAATTGTGAAGGTTTTGATGCGCATCAGGCTAATGTTGAGAAGCTGTGTGTTTATCATCAAGGCAGATGGAAGAGAGGACGGCAGAGCCCATTAAGAAATCTTTACTGGCGCCCCACCCTCCCTCTGTCTAATGTGTCTGAAGGGTACCACTTTAGCCCTGTGTGTGTCTGTTTGTGTCTATGCGTGTGTCTTTTTGTGTCTGTGTGTGTGTCTGTGTGTGTTTGGGCGAGACAGAGAGAGAGAGAGAGAGAGAGAGAGAGCGAGCAAGCAAATGATTGTGTCACAGCAATTTCTCAGAACATAAATGGACGTCCTGCAAATAAACCAGAGTGGAATTCAGACCTACATCCTTTAACAAAAGATACTTGAAGCCACATTATGAAACAATCTTCATTGCATCCTCAGATTCTGAGTAAGTTTAAGTGATACTCCCACTTAAGTAGTAAAATAGAGACTATTAGATTTAATCTGTCAAAGTGTCAGCACATGAATTTTGCAGGAACACTGTTCTTACATGAGGAAAAACTGGAGAAATTTGTCCTGGTTGATGCTGAGATGCTCCAGTAAGTTATATCCCAATTAAAATCAGCAACCTGCCCTCTGGATCCAATTCCAACATCCTTTTTAAATCATTTAATAGCTTTTTCATTGAAGATCTCCTTGCCATCATAAATTATTCTCTCCAGATGGGTGTCTTTCCCACCTCCATGGTTAAACCACTTCTGAGGGGAAATCATTTTCACCCATCAATACTTGATAACTACAAGCCAGATTTGAGAGAAACTTGTTTTTAATCAGTTAAATTACTTCATTAACTGCCACCACTTCTTCAAGAAATACTAGTCAGGCTTTTGAACTTATCACAGTACCAGAGACAGAAATAGTCCAGACTGTAACGGACCTGAGATCCAATATGGATGTGAATAAACCATCTGTCTTGATACTACTAGACTTAAGGGCTGCCTTTGACACTGTATATCACATTACTCTTTCAGGCAGACTTCACAGTCTGGTTGACCTCTCTGGTTCTGTTTTTAAATGGTTCAAATCCTGTCTTACTGATAGAGAATTTATAGTAAGCACAGAGGATTGTTCATCCAAGAGCTATTAAATGAATTATGGTGTTCCTCAGGGTTCAGTTTTAGGTACTACATGTTTTAATCTGTACACGTTGCTTCTTGATCAGTGTCATCAGGAGGAACAACATCAGTTTCCATACTTATGCTGATGACACACATCTGTACATCACCATGTCTCCTGGTGACCCAAGGTCAATTGATGCCCTTTTAGCTGTATTTCAGACATTAAACTGCACTGGTTACTTGTTGATTTTAGAATTGACTTTAAGCTCTTTTTATTGGTTTATAGAACTCTTCATGGTGTCAGTCCTCCGTATTTATCAGAGTGATCAGGCTTTTGATTGATGTGATGATTTTGTTAATTTATTACATTTCTTAAAAGTAATTGTATTGATTGATTTCTCTATTTATTCACTTATTTACATATTGCAGTCTTTTCAATGAATCTTTGATGAATACATTTTTTATTATTCTCATATTCAGTTTTGTATGAATTTGATTTTTGTGTATTGTTTTATTGGATTTTTATACCTTTCACTTTGTGTTACATTTCATCATTGTTTAAAATGCTATATCAATACAATCAGATTTATTCATTAATAAAGGAGCCCCAATTTTCAACATTTACATGAAACAACATTCTTACAATTGTATTTAACATTGTTGCAATGCTGTTCATATTATTGAACCATGTCCATCTTGAATCTGTCATTTTATATACAGTGTATGTTTAAGATACATTTAAATTTGATCATTTTAACAACATATTGAATACATCATAAATTACAAAAAAATAAATAAACAGAAAATTAAGTGAATAAATAAATGAGGAAAAGATTGCACAGTAGTTGTCAGTCTGTTCAGACACAGTGGTGCTAAAGCTAAGCTAAGGTCAATACTAACATCATGATGCATGTTTAATGTTTACCATGTTTACCACTGTAACTTAATGTATTAGCTTGCTAATATTTGCTATTAGCAATACTAACCAGGCACAGCTGAGGTTGATAAGAATGCATTCAGTATGGAAATGATTAAGCCCAGGGTTTTTCCTGCGCAAAGGTATTTTTGGTAAACCGAATATGCTTGCTTTCACGTGTAGTAAAAATACTGGACAACCTGATGACATGATGGTGGTGCTAGAGAAAAGTCAGGGGATCACCAAAGCTGATACTAATTAACGTGTTATAATTAAAATGAATGTTAATAGGTTGCCAAAACAAGCAACTTTTGTAAGTGTGGACGATCAGCTCATGATCTCAGTGTCTCTGTTTAGCCAACAGCCCTGAATATATCGACAAAAGAGAGCTGATGATCGTTAATTTGCGTGATCCTCAAAATGATTGTGGGAATTAACAATGATGGGATGAGATCAAATTTACGTCTGCCCAGGAGTTCTTCCTCTCCACTGTCGCCAAGTGCTTACACAATGGAATCAATGGATTTGTTTCTATATATAATATTGTAGGGTCTTAACCTTAATATTTAAGTTAGTTGGATAAACTTGTATTACATATATTGTCTGTAAAAAGTATTCACTCTGCTTAAAAGTTTTCCCTTTGTACTGCTTTTCAACACTGAATCATGGTTAATATAATAGACTTTTTGACAAGAATTTCCAAAAAAGATTCTTTTATGTCAGACTGAAACCAGATTTATACAACTTAATGTCAGTTAGGATAAATATAAAATGTACAATAAGTGATTGTGTAAGTATTCACCCCTTTGAAGTGACTCACCTAATTCAACACAGGTGCAGTCAGGTGGTGCCAGAAGTCACACAATTGGTAAAAAGGCAGTCATCTGAGTGCAGTGAAAACGTCTCAAGTGACTCTAGTATAAAGACGTCTGTACCTGGAAGATCCGGTCATTGGTGAATCAGTGCTCTGGATATACACCACGAAGACTAAAGAACACTGAAAACACACCAGTGAAAATTTCAGTGAAAAGCCTAAGAGCTGGGGATGAACAGAAAAAAATACAAGTGAATCCATCATTAAGAAATGAAAGAAATGTGCCACACGTGTGAAACTGCCTAGAGTAGGCAGTCATCAACAACTGAGTGACTGTGCAAGAAAGAGACTAGTGAGGGAGGCCACCAAGAAAAGTATCACTCCGCTGAAGGAGTTACAAACTTCACTGGCAGAGATGGAAGACTGTGTGCATGCAGAAACTAATGTCTGATGAAGGAAAGACACACCCATCCCCGAGGCCCACTGGGTTGGGTGCTGGATCACAAAATGTCAAAAATGAGAAAAGAAAAGAAAAGAAGAACAGAAGAACGATCCGCGCACCAAACAAGCTCCCTTTTACAATTTATTGGCGTGACGTTTCGAGCAAAATGCTCTTCCTCAGACTGCTTGCATGCAGAAACTAGCCTGTTCTTCGCCAGTTAAAGCTTAATGGGAGCGTGGCAAAGCAAGCCACTGTTGAAAAAAGCTCATTATATCTAGACTAGAGCTCAACAGAAGGCATGCAAGAGACTCTGAAGTCAGCTGGAAGGTGTGTGGTGAGACCAAAACCAAGCTTTGTGGCCATTAGACAAGACCTTATGTTTGTCAGACACCAAACACTGCATATCGTCACAAACACACCATCCTCACTGTGAAGCATGGTGGCGGCAGCATCATGACGAAGGGCTGCTTCTCAGCAGCGGACCCTGGGAGGTGTGTAAAGGTAGAGATAAATGAAAAATGTTGGGAAATCCTGGAAGACAAGCTGACACAGTCTGCTAGAGAGCTGGGAGAAGATTAGTATCTTAGCAAAGAGAATACCTGAAGCATACAGCCAAAGCTACACAAAAATGGCAAAAAAAGACAACAGTGTGAACTGTCTGAAGTGGCCGGATCAGAGCCCAGACCTCAAGCCAACTTAGAATTTGTGGTCAGACTTGAAAAGAGCTGTTCCCTCACTATCACCATATAACCTGATTTAGTTTGAGCTGTTTGCAAAGCAGAATGGTGTAAAACTGCCGTCTTGAGATAGCAAGTCTGATTAAAACCTATCTACACAGGCTCAGTGCTGTAATTGCGACCAAAGGTACATCTACAACTTACTGATTTGAAGGGGACGGATACTCATGCAATCACTTTTTTTCTTTTACATTTAATATCTTAATTCATTGATAACACTTTGTAAAAATCCCTTTTCACAATAACACAAAATAGACTTTTATTTTGCCTGCAACAAAGTAGGACTTTTTATTGACACTTTATATTGTTGTAGGGACTTAACCTCACTATTCAGGCTTCATAGGTACATGTTTAATCTTATCTATAGGGAAGCACTTCAGCTCAAAGTCTGTAATTTTAAATATGTTGTGTAAATAATGGCGATGGCTGTATTCATGGGTTGAATTTAATAAAATCTGCTGATGGAAGGCGACTTGTGTAGAATTGTTTCAGTTAAGTCAGTATTAATGTGTTGTATTGTACTCAGAGTTGTCTCACAGCCATGAGGACAGGCTGCATGGTGTGACAGCCTGCGTGCTTCATGATTGGTTGAACCACAGAAAGGCTACGTCTGTGGATTTCACTACAGTCACTCAGCCGACCAATGAGCACGAATCATTGACGAGAATCCCGCCCCTCTGTAAATATCGGCCAATCAGCGTGAAGCAGGGGGGAGGAGCCTTCCCACCACCTAGCTCCGCTCACCTATCGCAGTAAAGGGGTGATCGGTGATCGGGATTTTGGGGTTGGAATAATCAATACGGAGTTCCTTCACAGCTGAAAAGTGAAGCTGAAGTTTGGAGCGGATCAGACTGACCGTCCGGACACCATGGACCCGCTGCTGTATCTGGGAGGTTTGGTGGTTTTGTTCCTGCTGTGGATCAAAGTCAAAGGTCTAGATTACGTGATCGTGCACCAGCGCTGGATATTCGTGTGTCTGTTCCTGCTGCCGCTCTCCGTTATATTCGACGTGTATTATTATGTGAGAGCTTGGCTCATTTTCAAGATGTGCTCTGCGCCCAAACTGCACGACCAGCGGGTGAAGGACATCCAGCGACAGGTGAGCAGCGCGCACAGGTGATCTGATCTGCAGGACTGAGGGACTGAGCAGGGGCGGAGATGGAGGTCAGGCATCAGGGGGGATGTGTTCAGTGGGGGGGTCTGGGTTTGTTCTTATACAACTCTTCATTTTCTGCATTCTGATGAGTTTTTATGCAACAATTTTTGCCTTTTATGCATCAGTTTATACTGCAAATGCCCTTTTTTAATGTAAAAATGTAAAGACAAAGGAGTAAACCTGATGGCAGGTTATTCAGCAGCATTTTCACGACCACAGTTGTAGTGCCTCTGGTTTTTTTATTAACATTTTTTGGGTTTTTGGGACAGATAACATGGCAACAACTTGTTTTGCTTCTCCAAACTACTGAAAATGGCAAAAACAAATAAAATAAATGCACAAAATGGGGAAAATTAAACTTCTAAAACTCAAACTTGTTCGTTAAACAGTTGATTCTGGGTGGAATTAATCATTTCAACTAAAAGAACTTGGATCAAAAGTAGTATTTTGGGTGGAATTAACTTTTGAAACTGTAAGTACTTGGACAGAAAGTAATATTTTGGCGGAATAAACTCTTGACACTATAAGTACTTGGACAGAAAGAAGTATTTTAGGCAGAGTAAACCTCGAAACTATACATTTCACATGTTGTAAATCTAAATTCCCCCTGAAATACTGGGACATACACTTTCAGCTTCATTTGTGTAGTTGCTGTTTCAGTATTTTAATGAGCTACACAACTTGAATGCTTGTTTATCATGTCGAGGTTTCTCTTTTATTGTGTATTAAGGTGATAAAACATGATTTAAACACGTGTTCCTGTTCATAAGGAATCATGGGTAGTGAAGAACACATGCTGGCTGCTTGTGTTTCAAATCATGATAAAGTGATTTTTGTGTAAAATTGATGTATTACAAGCAACTTTATGAAGTGAAACACCAGTGTTGTTGCCTTTTCTCTTGTTTTAGCAGTCATTCATCTGTTTTGACACAGCAGTCTTTTCTATCCACCTATCTACCTGCTTTTTTAAAAATACATTACACCCATTTAAACACAAGAGCTGCTTTCCCTCCCCAGGCTAACTATTAAAATACACATTTCTTTCAGTTTACTGTCCATCTGCAGCCCTATAACTGTTTAAATAACAAGTTTTAGTGGAAAAAAAATAGAGGAAGACCAGGTAATTAAAGCACAGTTAGTGTGTTTGTTACTTTTTTTCTTCACTGTGCCAGATTGCATTGCAGCACCAACTTGCCTCTCAACAAAAACTAGCTTGGGTAGAATAGGTAAATATTGCAGCAGTCATCGTGTGTCCTCTGACTCTTAAATAAATAATTTGTTCTTCTCGCAAATTCCCACATTTGTCAGGTCCGTGAGTGGAGGAAGGAGGGCAGCAAGAAACACATGTGCACAGGTCGACCCGGCTGGCTCACCGTGTCTCTCAGAGTGGGCAAATACAAGAAAACCCACAAGAACATCATGATCAACATGATGGACATCCTGGAGGTGGACACGCAGAGGCAGGTAGGAGGAAGCAACAAGTCCACGGGTTCTGAGATGAGACAGAGCTTCCATTCTCACCGTTCGACCATCTCCGAGCTTCCAGCTTTACTCGCTCATCTTTGTTTCATAAGTGACACTTGTGAGAGCAGCAAAAACACCAGTGTAAATAATAATATTAACAACGGCTCTGTTCTTGTGAGTCGGTGTGCACGGCAGCTTTGCTTTGAGAATGTTGCAGCTCGATGCTATGCGAGGCTGCTCCTATTATTACTTGTGTCTAAAGGTTTACTCTAAAAACATGAGCTTCACAGCTGTAGCAGACTGGCTCTAAGGGTCCATCACTTTGATACAGACTGCAATATTTTATACAGACTATCATAGTTCCCAGAGGATGTATCCAAAAATCTCCAGATTTTTTTCCTCTTGCTCCATCATAAAGTCAAAATTTGTGGGTTTGAGTTAAACTGCTGTCATGCCTGTTGTCAGTGGTTGAAGTTGGATGTCTTTTATCTGTGACATACATGTTGCCCTGGATGCTGCCTAATGTAACAGAATGAGCACAACAGAATCATTATATAGGAAGCGTTCATGCAAGTGGCTGCAGACACAACAAGGGGCTTCCCTGGTGCCTCCAGCAGCACACCATACAAATGTGAAGTAGATTGAATTAAACGTTGCTGAGAAAAGCAAAGACGAGACACACACGTCATTTATTAGTGAGATATGAACCATTAACTATAAAAAAAAACTTGCCATAACATTCAGAGCACACGTTCATTGTTCCCACACAATGAACTGTAATAACTTAAGTGATTCTGTGAACTTTTACTGTAGCACCACCATTCAGTAACAATTTAATTTGTCCACTTTAAAACCTAAATGGAATAATTGATGACATGGTAATTATTAAATTAATCACCTTACATTTCAATTAGCAGTTAATCAGTGTGAGTATTTCTTTCTTTATTTTTTTAAATTAAAGACCGTAGTCTTTTATTTTCTGGGGGTTTTGTTTTTCTATGACAGTTACCTGAATGTTTTTGTGTTGTAGATAAAACAAGACATTTTTAGGTTGTGTTGTTGGGTTTTGGAAAACACTCGTTGACTTTTTTTTTTTTTTTTTACCATTTTCGGATATTTTAGACTAAACAACTAAGCGGTTATTCAATAACATAATCAACAGATTAATTGACTATAAAAATAATTATTTTATTTATATTTATTATTAGCATTGTTGCCTCGCAGCAAGGTCACTGGTTCGTGTCCCAGTGGGGGCACTGGGATCTTTCTGTGTTGAGTTTGCATGTTCTCCCTGTGCAGCGTGGGTTCTCTCTGGGTTCTCCAGCTTCCTCCCACACAGTCCAAAAACATGTTGAGGTTAATTGGTGATTCTAAATTGTCCGTAGGTGTGAATGTGAGTGTGCTTGGTTGTCTGTCTCTAAGTGTGGCCCTGTGATAGACTGGTGACCTGTCCAGGGTGTCCCCTGCCTTCACCCTAAGTCAGCTGGGATAGACTCCATCCCCCCTATGACCCTAGTGAGAATTAAGCAGTGTATAGATAATGAATGGATGGATGGGTATTTATTATTTTATTTATATAAATGTATATATTATTTATGTATTTACAGAATCACTGAATGCTTCTGCCAATCTCTGGAGTGCAAGCACACATATGAGCAACAAAATTCTGACTGTAATTTACTTAAAAATACATCTATATTATTCCCATAATTGTTCATAATTGTCATTTTTAGGGTCTACCAGAAAATAAAGTATTTCTGTTCTACTCTATTTGTTGCAGCTTTGGTAACCAGCTTCATTTAGACTTTCCAGCATGTGCTGTTGTTCTGTCTGTGATTATTTTTGCTGCACAGCTGACATCTGGAGACCCAGGGACATTATTTCTGCAGGGTACCAGAGACCAGCACGTTAGATGATTAAACAAGTTGTAAAAACCGCTTTATTTGAAGGGGAACTGTTGTTAATAACTTTAGTATTTACTTGGTTTTTCCTCAAAAACATTGGCCAACCTAGAGGTTTGTTTAAAACCTGGTGTTTCTGGTCCTATTGGGCGTGAACACTGTTGCTGTGTGCTGGCTCTAGTGGTCTAAAGGTTAAAATCAGCACCATATAAGTAGTTCAACTCCAGGTCAGGTACCCTTTGTTGCATCACAACGTTCATTCTCCCCATGTTCACTGTTTATCAGACTGGCAAAAAGTGTAAACTGTATTCAGAGATGTCAGCATTTAACTACGTGAATACAATATCGCTATCATTAGCCAATTGAAATAATGGCACAGGACGTGTAATCACTCTTCTTTTTCGGTTTTATTAATTGTAAAAATGTATCTGGATGGAATTTAATGTTCTTCAAGAGGATGGCTATCACGGTGTGTTGGTGTGCACTGTTTTGTCTTGTCTTGTCTTCTTAGTTAACTTAGTTTTGTTGCACCTCCACACCTTCAATTTGCACTCTTTTGATAATCTGTATAGACGTAAATATCAATATATCTGCACCCTCAATTTTCTTGTAAATAACTACAGTTCAATGGTTCTTATTTAAATATAAGTTTCTTCAATGCACAATATTTTTTGCTTCTGCTTTGCACTGCCAGTTATTTTTTATTTTTAGTATTTTTTTTTTTAGCTATTTTTATATTTTTATCTTGTACATTGTACCTTACTGTATATTCATTGTTTTACCAACCCGCCAGAACAAATTCCTCGTATTGTGTAAGCTATTCTTGGCAATAAATGTATTTCTGATTCTGATTTGTACCATCTGTTTCCCACATTTGTGTTTTTAGGTGGTGCGAGTTGAGCCGCTGGCCAACATGGGTCAAGTGACCGCTCTGCTCAACTCCATTGGCTGGACGCTGCCGGTGCTGCCGGAGCTGGATGACCTCACTGTGGGTATGTTGTACACATGGTGGATTATAATCAGGGGAATCATCTGTGGCCCTCTGGTTTCTAGAAATAGAGAGACGCACTGATGATTTCCACCGTTCATGGCTCAGTGATGTAGATCCAGCATCTCCTGCATCAATCACTGCATCCTGTTTAGAGCCTCAGCGACTTCTCTAATTGTGTTAGAGGACTGATGTTGGAGCTCTAAAGATGAAACTGGGAGGAAATGGCTGCAGTGTTGGAAGCACCCCTGGATCGGGTTTCATAATGGATTTCCTGATGCCATAAACTACGCATCAACAATCTAATGTTTTCCCATCAGGCCGCGGTACATTCATTTATCCTGATGTCCGCGCAGGCACAGATGTACACACTCGCAGCAGGCAAACGCCGCTGTCTGTGTTTGGCTGCTGCTGTTCTCACCCGGGTAGAAATTGAATTATCACAAAGCATCTTTTGTTCTCTCCTTTCTCAGGTGGCTTGGTGATGGGTACAGGCATTGAGTCGTCCTCCCATATTTATGGGCTGTTTCAGCACATCTGTGTCGCGTTTGAACTGGTTCTTGCTGATGGCAGTTTGGTTCGCTGCACTGAGGTGAGTTATGAGTGTGTGTGTGTGTGTGTGAGATGTATGTGAATAACATATATGTAGTGGGTTAGAATGCCATCTTTAAACTCCACTCAAGCTTTTCTGTATGAAGTTGGCTCACATTTAACCAAGGAACTAATGCTGCATTGCCACAATACAGTTTAATACAATACAATAATAAAAACCATTATAGCTGCCCTTCTTTACACATAAAATTATGATTTGAAATAAAAGCTGCATCTACTCTTACATCAGACAAAAAGCTTTGTCTGTAAATTATAATTGCAAAATAGACACTTTCTAGAATTAATTACTTTTAACTTTTAAAAATTCATCACACAGCTGCAATGAGAAATCAATTCATCAATTAGTTTGAAACTACTGAACAAACTGCCAGCTGGTTTTAAATAGATCAACTGAGTGATCTGTTCAAGAAAAGTAGTTTGAATTTTTGGTTTTCTCCATCCTAAACATTTTGTAGCTTCTTTTCTCCTCTGTGACAGTAAATTGAATATTTTTGAGCTTTCGTAAAAACAGGTTGACATTTTGTTTTTTTCTGCCGTTATTTGACATTTTATAGCTCAATTAATTGCGATATTAATCAACAAATTAATAGATCGGGAATATAATTGTTAATTTTTAATTAGAATAGATGGTCCATTGACAAGAAGGCACCAGAAATATCCCCATAGAGAATACATGGACTATTTAGTTGTAGTTGCCTGATCACATCGTGTTTGTTGCATCTCTCTGAGGATTGCTTTCTGCTACAGTAACCTAATATTTCTGCGGATATCAGTTCATAATCACTCTTCCTCTCAGTGTTCCTAAAAATGTGGCTCCTAACGGTGGAAAGTAGCTTAGTACAGTTACTTTGTACTGTCCTTATGGACTTTTTAGGTACTTGTACTTTCCATTTTATGATACTTTATACTTTCACGTCACCACATTTTTCTGACAGTGTTGGTTACTTTCATGATGAAGATTTGACACAATGGATTATATTAAACCAGCATTGTTAGTGATCACTTCGGTGAATCTCAACCTTTTTGGCCTCTTATAAAAATCAGTGGGTAGCTGGACTGTAGTTGTAAGCAGCTCTACCAAATACTGATTTTTCCTTCCAAACTTCTCACATAGTTTTATTTCAATACATGTTCAAATGATCCAACATTTCACCCAAAAAATACACAGTCCTCCTTTTCTACTTGCACACGAGTCCCCACCTAAAATAGAGCCAGACTAATCGCATTTAGATTACACGATATTTGAACCAAAGAGGACCAAGAGGGCCCATCAATTGATGCTTTTATCTTGTAAAGTGTATTATAGTTTAAAACTGATGCCATATCTAGGCCTCACTACATCCTGACGGCAAGAAATATTGGCCAGTGACCAGGGTATTATCTGTAATGGTCCCCAGCCAAGTCCAACAAATCATGAGCATAATTGCTAATCAGAGGCTGCGACCGTCTTATCAGCCAAAATATGGTGTAGCGTGAACCTGGCATCAGTTGAACTGCTAATGGAGGACCCAGAATTGCAGTGTGGTTTGTAACAATAGCAATTTGTGGGTTTTTTTTCCAAAAGAGTGTCTGTGAGATTTGGTGATGTGGGAACACATGCAGTGCCTGTAAAAAATATTCATTCCTCTTGAATGTTTTCCCTTTTCAACACTGAATCAATTTCATTTGGGGTTTTTTTGACAAGAATTTACAAATAAAAGCCATTTTCATGTCAAATCAAACAGCTTTCTGCAAAGTAATGTTTTTTTTTTTGTTTTTTTTTAAAGACAAAATGCAAAATAAATGATTGCATAAGTTTTTATTCCTTTTAAGTCAGTATTCAGTAGATGTACTTTTGGCTACAATCACAGCATTGAACCTGTGTAGATTGATCTCAATCAGACTTGCACATCTGGACGCTGCAATTTTAGCCCTTCCTTCTTTGCAAAACTCCTCAAGCTCTGTCAGGTTGCATGGGGGTCATGAGTAAACAGTGTCCAGCCACAAGTTCAAGTCCAGCCACAAACAGTTAATTAGATTAAGATCTGGGCTCTGATTTGGCCACACCAGAACATTCAGCTTGTTAACGTTAAACCAATTTTGTGTAGTCTGGTGGAATATTTTGGTTCACTGTCTTGCTGGAAAACAAATCTTCTGCCAAGTCGGACTTCTCTTGCAGACTGCATCACGTTGACCTATACTGTGTTGCATTCATTTTACCCTCTGCCTTTACAAACCTTCTACGGCCTGCTGCTGAAAATCATCCCTACATCATGATGCTGCCACCACCATGCTTTACAGTGGGCCTTTGGGATACTTTCCGGTGTTGGGTGTCCACCAAATATAGCATCTAGTTTGATGGCCAACAAACTCAATTTTAGTCTCATCAGACCAAATAACCTCCTTCCAGTTCACTTCAGAGTCTCTCACATGACTTTGAGTGAGCTCAAGTCATGATTTTAAATGCACTTTTTTTTAACCGTGGCTTTCTTTTTGCAGCTGTTCCATAAAGCTTTGACTGGTGAAGAACAGGCAACAGTTTCTATGTGCACAGTCTCTTCCATCTTAGCTGCTGAAGCTTGTAACTCCTTCAAAGGAGTCATAGCTGTCTTGGTGGCCTCCCTTCTCTTTATTGCACGCTCACTCACTTTTTATGGATGGCCTGCTCTAGGCAGATTTGCGCGTGTGCCATATTCCTTCCATTTCTTAATTATTTTTTATATGAAAGATTCTTTTTTGTAAATTCATGTCAAAAAAAGTCAGGTAAAATTGATCAATATTCAATGTTGAAAAGCAATAAAAAGGGAAAACTTCCAAGAGGAGTGAATACTTTTTATCGGCCCTGCAGCCTCACATTAACCCAAAGATCACCATCATCACCACGAGTGTGCCACAGACCTGTGAACAGTTTGCTCTTGTTCATATAGGAGGAGAACTCGGATCTGTTTCACGCTGTCCCGTGGTCCTGTGGAACTCTGGGGTTCCTGGTTGCAGCTGAGATTAAAATAGTCCCTGCTAAGGCCTGGGTGAAGCTGCGTTACGAGCCAGTCAGAGGACTGGAGAACATCTGCAAACGCTTCACCGAAGCATCAGAGAACAAGCAGAACACATTTGTTGAGGGTCTCCAGTACACTCTGGACTCTGCTGTCATCATGACAGGAACCATGACTGACCACGCAGAGCCTGACAAGGTGAGATGTTTGTTTGTGAGTGTGTGTGTATGCAGATTTGTTTTCACGCTTAATCACATTTAACTTCTTTTTTCTTTTCTTGTTTGACGTCAGATAAACAGAATCGGCCTGCACTTCAAACCCTGGTTCTTTAAACACGTGGAGAGCTACCTGAAACAAGACTGCACCGGAGTCGAATACATCCCTCTGCGGCAGTACTATCACAGACACACACGCAGCATTTTCTGGGAGCTTCAGGTACTCGCAACACACACTCACACAGGATCTGTGTTTCCATGCGCTTGAGGATTACATTAAAGGGCTGCATATATCTGCCAGATTTTAGCTTGTCATCATCTTACCAACTTGCTTGCTCACCTCTCTTTATTAGGCTCTAAAGCTCTAATGCTCTCTTTATACACACACACACACACACACACACACACACACACTAGCCATTAGTGAGAGGGGCTGGGCATCCTTTTGTTTTCGGTAACAGTAAATGGTGTGATGAATTATGCATGGTGTTGAATTGACAGATGTCTAAAGCAGCCACCTCTGGGCTTTTGGCTGCTACTTTTTGAAAGGATTTTTGCCTTTGCAGGGGAAACAGAGACAGAAATAGGCCTGAAGGATGCTTTGATTAAATTGTTAATCGATAATTTGCAATTGCATCATTGATAAATTGGGCATGGTGTTGCGAGACAGTGCTTGGTGAGGTGGGACTGCCCTCTGCTGGAATTTAAGAGGAGTTGGTGAGAACAAACACTGTTCTCATGGAGATATTCAACATAACATGTGGAAAAGCAACTTGACAATTATTCTCAACTTGCATGTGATTAAAAAAAACTTCAACACTGTAGGTAGCAAAAACATCATGTTCCTTTAGATTTGTTTTTGTAGATTATATACAGTATGTTTTACTTAGATGTTAGTCATTAATTACTGCTGAGTATTTAATGTTTGAATTTAAATATCACCAAATATTTTACTTGGTTTAAGTCCCCCATTTGAAATGCAATGTAAGGGGATCACAAATTGTAATTTCATGACTGCAGTTTGTTTAAGACATCCAAGTCTTCAATTTTAAAAATTTGTCAAAGTCATTTAAAGGGACATAAAAACAAAAACAATTTTTAAAAAAGTTGCTCACTTTGTAATGAAAGTGAAAATCAGACACTAAAAATTCAAGATGACAAATTCAAATCTGAGCGTCTGGCCTGCTTTAAGTAATAGATGGAGCCTGAATGGAATCGATCACAAGTCAGTCCTATCAGGTTACAGTCTGTCAGTCACAGGATCGAAGAAGGAAAAGTTCAACCTGCACAAGTGAATTCTCTGATGGAATTCAAACAGATGCTTCTCAGAGTAAAACATTTCAGAGCTGTGTGTTTTTTGTTTTTTTTTTAACCCTCCTGTTATCGTTGGGGTCAGTTTAATCCCATTCAGTGTTTAACGTCTCTAAATAAGTGACCGACTTAATGTTTTCAGTTCTATTTAAAAGGCTATTTACACATAAACTTGGGTAACAATTTCAATTATGATAATTTTCTGGAGGTTTAAATAGCTGGGGTCAGATTGAACCCCAGGATCGAAGATGTCGGTAAATTTGAAGGTAATAGGAGGGTTCTAATACATTTTTAAATTATTTATTTACAAGTAAATCATTTTCATAGCTGAGTTATAAGTACAGTGTGTAAAAATGTGAAGCAATTAGCAGGATTAATTTATGGCTTTTTTTTTAGTTGCCAATGTGTGAACAGACTGTAATGTAATCTAAAAAAAGAGACCTTCCTTGACTGTCTCAGTTGCCTATTTCTATGAAAAGGACACGGGATACATTTCTAGGAAAATGCAAACCATGTAACATTTATGTGACATTTATATGTTCTGAGTGCTTTGCCTCAGAACCTCTTTTGCACTACTTGACAGCAGTAACAGTGTGCAACACTAGCTGACATTAGCTCAGAAACTGTACAAGTCTACTGACATTAACAAACAGCGGGTTCCCACGGCAACACAGACTCCATCAGCAGCTCCATGCAAACAAACAAACCTTTAAAAAAACATGATCTGATGAAGCCTGTCTGGCCAAATGGGAATGGGAATGACGTCTGGGTAAAACTAGTGTCAACATCTTCAGGTCACTCGATTCATGGAAGGTCAAAACAGGAAAAAGTACAAAGCTGCTGGAAACATAGTCAAACACAGCTTATAATCAAACTGTCATGACAGTGTAACTGAAGGCTGAGCACCTCATCGAAATATTATCAAAACTGCAAAATGCCCAAGTGCAATATCCAAATCATAGCAACTACAGCTTTTTTAAAGAGTAAAATGTCACAACATGCTTTTATAAATAAAGTACTGTGATGCTACAGAGATGCCCTGACCTACAAATCACATTCTCCAGATGGGACATGGGAACATGCTGGTTTGGCACAAAAGTCACATCATCATTTTTATATTTATTCCAGTCAAAAACAAATGCTAATTTTGCCCACTACACTCATGATTCATACAGCAGGTCTGTCAATGATGCCTGTCAGTCACTCTCTGAATGCTTCTGCCAATCTGTGGAGTGCAAGCACACATATGAGCAACTGGATTCTGACTGTAGTTCACAAAAAACTTCATTATTCCCATTTACAGGTTCATAATTTCATTTTTAGGCTCTACCAGACAATGCTTACATGTAAAATAATTTTTTTCTCATTGCTGCAACATCTCTTTTCACCCTCTGTCCAAAATGTTCTCTGCAAGGCCCCCCTATCTGTAAAGCCCACCCTGCTCTGATTGGTCAGCTGGCCCAATAGAAATGAAGCAATACTGGTTACATATTGGTTCAATGAGTATAGGCAGAGAGATGTACCTCTCTGAGAGACAGAATGATTGCCTTTGGCTTGGACTTCAGCCTTTTAGGTTTGCAGAGTTTACATACACAAAAAAAGCTGTAACACACTAAAGGGAAAAACCCAACAAGCACAATATGGGCTCTTTAGCAGCCACCAGTGTCATTAATGCCACACACTGCTTAATTTAACACTAAAAACATTTAACTTTTTGGGGGGTTATTTGCTGCTATGGATACACTTCACTCTGTTTCAGCTAAAATGTAACTCAGTGATCATCACTGAATATTGAATACATTGAATAATATAATGCTTTATTGAGTCAATCCTTACTTTTGCAGTGATTTGCTGCTACGGGAACATTAATTGAATTTCCCTTCTGGGATAAATAAAGTATTTTTCATTCATTCATTTCATTAGCATCACTAATAAAAATCAGCTGGGGAGCTTTGTCAAACTTTGCCCAAAAACCGCTGGCAGTAGTCTGCAGCAGCTTGACAGTGTTTGTCAAGTAAGAGCCATTCAGAGGGCAAAGGTGATCTTAGCCAACCCATACCACCCTCTGTATGCTGAGTTTTGACTTTTGCCATCTGGAAATAGGTGTGCCTTCCCTAAGAGGGCCAAATCAAACAGATACCTATATAATAGATACCTCAGATCATTTGTTCCCTCAGCTGTAGGGTTTCTCAATACGCTTTAGGCTTGTGTCCTTGTCTCATAGGCTACATATATGGTCATGATTACTCACCTGATGACATTTATTATTTATATCTATGTTTCTATGTGTTGTACTGTACTGTTTTATGGTATGGATTTTGCTGTCGACTGCTGTTGCAAATCAAATTGCCCAAATTGGGACAATAAAGAGTTTCTAATCTAATCTATTGAGAACAAAAGAAAAAACTCTTATTAAGCAACATGACAGCTTCCTTATGACCTTTATTCTCTTAGCGACAGTCCAAAACCCAAAAATACTTGATTTACAGTTATAAAAATAGAGCAGGGCAGCATTTTCTCACATCTGCTGATTAGAAATCAGGCTTAAATGAACAGAAATAAAACTGTCATCTGCTAATCCACTCACTTATGTCTCTGTGTACATTTGTGCTTTTTCTCCAGGATATTATTCCATTTGGCAACAACCCCATATTCCGCTGGTTGTTTGGGTGGATGGTTCCTCCTAAAATCTCTCTGCTGAAGCTCACTCAGGGAGAAACCATCAGGCGTCTCTATGAACAGCACCATGTGGTCCAGGACATGCTGATACCCATGAAGCACCTGCAGGCCGCCATCACGCGCTTCCACCAGGACATTGATGTAAGACTCAGACATGGGTCAGGGCGCTATACGCTCCAGGCTGCCGTTTGCATTCTTTACATGTCTTGTGTTGTTTCAGGTTTACCCTCTGTGGCTGTGTCCATTCCTGCTGCAGCCCGGCAGGGGGATGGTTCACCCCAAAGGTCAAGAGGAGGAGCTGTACGTGGACATCGGGGCGTACGGAGAGCCCAAAGTCAAACACTTTGAAGCTAAAGCGTCGACACGACAGCTGGAGAAGTTCGTCAGGGAGGTTCATGGGTAAGTCTCACGTGAAACCAACAAAATTCAGCATTCAAACTTAGGCGACTTCTGTGAAATTCAAACTGCACTTTTTTTGGCTGTTTCATTGACCTGCAGGTTCCAGATGCTGTATGCAGATGTGTACATGGACCGAGAGGAGTTTTGGGAGATGTTTGACGGACAGCTGTACCACAGATTGAGAAATGAGCTGGGATGTAAGGACGCCTTCCCCGAGGTTTACGATAAAATCTGTAAATCTGCCCGACACTGACCCTCATCTCCCGCCTGGAGCCCAAACTCGGAGCTCTGTCACAGATTCACCGACTCAAGATTGACTAGTTTTGAGATGTTTGGACAAAAAACAACAAACTGGATACATCTCAACATTTTCTAAGGTGGACTTTTCACACATGAATACTTGTTGTTTTTGGCAATGAGACCGAGGAGGCCCATCTATCAATGTGAAGCAGGAGTATTTTACTCATTGTAAGTCATGAATGTCTTAATTTTTTTCTTTGTGCTATACACAGTTTATTTTAACATTCATGTTCGGATTCACGTGCTGCTTGACCCAAACCTAACTGCACCAAATGTCTTATTTTTTCATTTAAAAAAATGTTCCCTGTTAAACTACTTAATTGTTTCCTAAGTGCCACATCCTTTGGAAATATGACTTCCTGATTAGTCTCACACATTTTAAAAGACATACTTCCATGATAAAGCTCAGTTGAACTATATTATAACTCAAAGATGACTATTTTGATATCAGATCGTATTTCCAGGATTGTGTATTGGTGGGATGAATTAATTAAAATGTATTTTCTGTGATAAAGCTCATTCTCATGCTTTTACAATACCGTAGTAGGAAGCTGTGCAACAATGTCTATATGGATGGTACGTTTCAGAGTTACATCCACATGAATACCATGGTTTCCCTACAGAGCATTGCATTTTAATAAGCGGATCTCTTTTATTCACTTTGCCCGTCAGCGGTTTTATTGTCGTGGCTTAATCCCTGTATGAAGCTATTTATTTGCTTTGCAAATTCACTGGATTTTATTTGAATAGCAGCACTACAGAGATCTTGGAGGGTTTTTTTAGGTTTATGTTTGTGTATTTATTAGTAAATCTAACTTCCTTTTTTTTTTTGTTCGTCCCTGTTGGACTTCCTTAACAGACAAACCAGTGAATAACCAGTTTTTACTAGTTCTTAACGGGACTTTACAGTTTTACATTATACACCTGGCCTGTCTGTAGACTTGTGATGCCTCCACCACACCAGCTCTCCCTTAGCTTCAACCAAGTGTCCTTTCTTTTTTTTTTCTTTTAAAAAAGCACATTACCTTCAAGACGGACAGCTTTCTGTCAAAGTAACATGTTTTACTGTAAAGTGGAGGAGGACGATTGTAGCTAAAGAGGTAGTGTTTTTAGTCTGATAGCCCTGAATGAATTTATGAGTAACCTCAGATATGCCTTTTTTTTTTTTTTTTTTTTTTTTTACACAAGAATGCTTTAAAAAAAAAAATAGGATCTATTCTTCTGTCATTGTGATAATGCGTTAAAGCTCTCAAAAAATATATATAGTTGAAGAAAACTATTATTTTACTGTTCATAAAAGTGGGCTGCAAGGTAGATCAGTGGTTAGTATTGTTGCCTCGCAGCAAGAAGGTCGCTGGTTCGCGTCCCGGTGAGGACACCTGGGATCTTTCTGCGTGGAGTTTGCATGTTCTCCCCGTGCAGTGTGGGTTCTCTCCAGGTTCTCCGACTTCCTCCCACACAGTCCAAAAACATGTTGAGGTTAATTGGTGATTCTAAATTGTCCGTGGGTGTGAATGTGAGTGTGCTTGGTTGTCTGTCTCTAAGTGTAGCCCTGTGATAGACTGGTGACCGTAAGTCAGCTGGGATAGACTCCAGCCCCCCCATGACCCTGGTGAGGATTAACCGATGTATAGATGATGGATGGATGTTGAGTAAAGTATTTTGTTACAGAGATGTTCATGTTTCTCAGCAAGAGGAGGAGTGATATTACTGTCAATATGGACCTCTCTAGTCATTAAATTAATTAACAAGATATGACAACAACCAAGCAGCAATGAAAACACATGTTACTGTTTTAATGTAGGCTGCTGGTGTTAGATCAGCTGTCACTGGGCTATAAACAGAAGTGTCAGGGGTTTTTTTGTCAGCAACACAGGAAACAGATTCGCCCTGAATTTTATTATTAGTTATTTTTTGGGAAGTGTTGCATTGCTGGACTTTATCGGTGAACTTCTTCTACTCACCAGCACCTTTATTTCTTCTTGAGGACCATATAAAGTGTCACTCAGCCAGATTACTAGTTAGTTAAATGCATGAAAACAAACATTTTAAAAGTGTATATAGGATTATAGCTGTAAATCATCATATATTGGACTCATTCCAAGGTACACTGTGATACTGATGTGGAACATGGAGTGAGCAGAACAGATGGACTGGGATGACCTAGAGGGCACTGTGTCACACCTCACATTAGAACAGTGCAGAAGAGGTGAAACTCTGGTGTAGTGCAGGGCAGAGAGAGCCTCCAGAGATCCTAACAACGCCTTTGCCTAAAGCTGTTTGGGGGAACCAGTATCTGCTGTTCATATCTGCAGGGGAGTTTTTCCAGAGAACATCCCAACACTCACGGTTCCGCCTTCCTCTCCTCGGTGGGACCTGCAGGGTGAGTTAGCTGCTGTCAGCCGGTTAGGTAACTTCACTGCTGGAGTCAACTGCACCAAGCTGCCCGGAGTCATTTGGCAACTCAGGTAAGCTGCAATCACAGTTTTAACACCAAAGTTACACTCTAAAGATTAAAAAAATGCCAGTTCCTCACTTACATTACAGCAAACTGTTGCTCACTTGCAGTTTTAGGTGAAGCTAACTTGCGTGGGGTTAGTTTGAGCTAGCTGTTAGCCGCTAGTCAGTGGACTTTTACTACTTTCTGCTACAGCTAGCTAACAGCTGACGTTAGCTACTTTACGAATTAGCTCATTTTTGCAAAGGTGACTTTGAAGATTTGTTGCTGCCATACTAAGTGCTAAATCTTAAGCAGCTGTCTGTTGTTGTTTTTTAAGTGAAATTATTCAGTCCTGCTGTTGCAAACTTCTCAGCTTTAGCTCAAGTTCCGTGTGTGTATTTTCCTGCTGGGTAAGGTCAAGACAGCAACCCAGTTTCCTTGACAACAATGCGGAAGTTTCCTAAAGCATTTAGGGTACTGTGTGTCCTGCCCCGATGTCCACAGAGACAGAAATAAAACGCCAACCTGTTGCTTTTGTTGAATTAATTGCAAGAGAATAATGTTAGTAGAAAATGATAAATCGTGTAAGTTATTCTATTTACTTCTCCACTCACTGTGTTCTCTGTGCAGCAGCTTATTTCCAGCATGGCAGAGCTGCTACACTTAGATGATACTTAGAAAATGCATATAGGTCTGACACTGTTCCATAATAAAGGAGTTAGTTTTTGGCCAATCAAAGTGAAATTACTGTATTAATAGAGTAGTGTCTGTAATGAATACCTGATCCATTTTCTAATGGCTGTAATAAAAGACTTCCCTACTGTAACTGTGGGATTACTAACATACAGCTCAACAGGTTTGCAGATATAATGCATCAATGCTGCTGTGACACTTCTAACGAATAGCAAAATAATGAAAAGAATTACTCCTGTGATAACATCCCCGCATTGGCTACCTGTTAAGTACAGAAGTGATTTTAAGATTCTTTAATTAGATTTTAAAGCCATGCATGAGTTGGTCTCTGTGTACAATCCTCAGCTTCTGTGACTCTAACTCAAGGGAGATCAAACCTTTACTGTAGAATAACCTTCTGGCAATGAAAAGGTCCTCCTCCTTTTTTTTTTAAAGAAAAAATGCAAGACGTGCATATTTTCAATGGCTTTTGGCAGATCTTAATAGTTGTAAATTTTATTATTATAATTATTTCATCTAAAACTTTAATCTTATAACTTTGCCTTCTTTAACATTTTTATATATATTCTATTTTTCATATTTTTTGTTGCTGCTTGATTGTTAACGTGTACAGCACTTTGGTCAGCTCAGGTTGTTTTAAACTTGCTTTATAGATAAACTTGATTTAATTTGATAACCTCAGCTGAGAATCTGTATCGCTCATACAGACTATTGTCAGGAAAAGAACTGGTGAAAAGGCGTCACCTCTCACGACCGATGTAAACCCCAAACTCTGAACATAAACCTCCTTTTGAGCAGGTTCGGTGTGCAGCATTCGTTACCTTAATAATCTAAAGTGAACCATCTCCATGGCATTAAAACTGACCTATGAATCTAGCTTGGTAGTCCATACCTGAGGATAAAGCTGTTCCCATCCCAGTAGCATAAGTTGTACTGTTCTCATCTTAATGTGTGGATGTTTGATTCTAGCCTTGTGGCCTCCACTGACTGCAGCTCAAAGTTCTGGCTCACTTTTATGTTGTCACAACCCTAATTTTGGCACGATTGTGTGTTTGCAGAGTCTCTGGATTGCAGCATCAAGTGCCCTCCCTACAAAAAGCCAACGCCAGTGTTTGCGAGCCAAGCGGCACTACCTGCCTTTCCAGACGGTGGTGGAGCTCGGACCGGAGAAGAGACCGAGGCTGTGGAGAAAGCATGGCTACTGATGGGGAGCCCACGTTCAGTGTGAAGCTGCTGCAGCTGCTGCTGCTTTCCACCTACTGGGGAATGCAGATTTGGGTCACCTTCATTTCAAGTTGGTACCATACACAGACACACATACACAAAGTAAACAGAAAAATTAGAAACAAAAACGATGGGAGAAATGTTGAGGGTTCAGAATATGGCTGATTATTTAATATAATCCTAAACCCACCCTTGAACGTGACCTGAGCGACTGAATCATGGTGGATCTTGGGATGCTACCACACCTGTATTTACACTCTTGTGGGTCGATCCCTCAAAATGTTTTTAAGCCAGGTGGGAACACTCATTGTCTCCTGTCGTTTGTTATCATGGCCACCTTTACAACTACATCTAGACTCTGATTTGCTTTTGTCGCAGCCTGGTGACAATGTGTACACAGACTGATATTGTTTGGATTAAGGTGTGTACTTTCCTGGCTTTGGAGAGCTGCTCCATTCACATAGCTGTCTGTATGCTGTTATATTATTAACTGAAAATGACCTCTTGACCCAGAGTGCTTTGCTACAGCTGAGCTTCTTGTTAATATTCAACATAGATCTCATGTTTCTGTCATGTTAGTGTGCCTTTGTGGCTGTATTATTGCAAACATGATGTTGTAAAGCACTAGTTAAAGCCCTGGAGTTGAGAACAGAGATAAAGCATCGTTTAAAAAAAGTGCATTAAATTGTTGAGGTTAATTTTTTTCAGAACATTTCTATCTGTGTAGTCTCTGCTAGTCCATGATTAATGAATACATCTTTATGGAAACAGAAGTCAGGAAGGTGCTAATGCGTTATTTTGATTTCTGCACAGGCTTCGTGATGGACAACCACCTGAACAGGCACACTTACGGCTTCATTCAGAGTCGCCTGGTCCCGTTCTACCTCCACCTGGGTTCCGCCTGTGCCTTCTTTAACCTCACTATCTTCGCCGTTTATCATCCCAGCGACGTGATGAGTGACAGAGAAGCCTTTCAGGTGTGTTATTTGTTCCACGCTGTCACTGTGCATTTCAGGAACATTTCCTCCAACACATTCTTTCACTCTCGCCACCAGATCTTCATCTTCTTCGTGTCGGTGACGGTCGCGGCCGTCAACGCTCAGTGGTTCGGCCAGATGACGTCAGAAATCATGGCAGACATGCACCTCATTGAGCAGGCGTGCGGGCTGGGTCAGGACATTGGCCTGTCATCTAACCGCGAGGCTTACGCCAAGCTGTGCGAGACCGATGTGAAATACAGACACCTCAGCAACCGCCTGTGGCTGTACAGACTGCTGTCCTCTCTGTGTAACCTCTGCTGCATAGGCTGCAACTTCCACAGTCTCTGTTACATGGCCGAGAACCTTGTCACACTGTAAAACATCACGCCCCTATGAATCTAGAAACACTTGTCTTTTTGTATCGAAGCAGTAAGTTATATATTTAATTCATTATGTCTTTCTTCCTCTGCGTGCCTGTTAGGGATGAGATGAAATGTCAGGTAAGCCTTGTTCTTCTTGGGAAATAATGAAAGATTTTTGCAGCCTCACTCAGTGACATTCAAGCCTTGTGTCTCTCCTGAAGGTTGTAGAGAGATGAATCAGTGACTGCAATGAGTAATACCTCACCTTTCACCTAGTGTGGCTGGCAGTAGCGGAAGCCTTACATTTTCCCTTCACTAGTATCTTTACCATCACACTATGGTACCCTACGGTTACCTAAAATGGGTGGAATGTTTTTACAATAATTTTTTTATAGCAGAAAATAGGCCAATAAAATGCACCGGTTTACCATATATCTCTAAAAACAAATGGCACCTTGTAGTGAGGGAACTGCTCATGGGCATCTCACTCTCACATTTCAGGTTTGGGTGTAGTTTTAATACCTTCTTCCTATTGTATCGTGCCAGGTTTGTTTAGCTTACCTCACCAAGCAGCGTGCTTCACATTTCAAAGTGAACATTTGTGCTATCTTTAACGCTCCTTTCGCTGCTGGTATGGAAACGGAAGGGTTCCAACACTTACAGTCAGCGCTGCTTTTAGCTCGTCCAAAACACTTTTGCACTAGCGACTTTATTTAGCCTTAAGGTTTGATGTTGCACTGCAGGTTGGTCTAGTTGTGGGAGTCGTTGAAGTAGTTGACCTTTGCTCTATTCCCATGATTGTCTGTGTGCGTTGTTGTATAAGACGCTGCAGCTGTTCTGTAGGTGAATCCGTGGTGACGACAGGGATCAGAATTACCAGTTTTGCAAGCAGCACTGATGGCTGTAATGACCTGCTGGATGATGCAGTGATGCATGAAAATAGTTTGGGGCCATGCTTTCTGGGATGGTTGAAAGTGTTGTTGAGATTTGCTGAGTTGATGTGGGTCTATATAGACTAAAAGTCCACAGTAATATTAACCCTATTCAGGACTTTTGGGGTCTTAGGGACCCCAGGCCATTTGGTTTAGGTAACAGGTGTTGTTTTTTATTTTTGAAGATTTTTTTTTAAATATAAAAAGAGGGACATTTGTCATGCATTTGGAACCAAAAATATGTTAACTTATCAGAACATTTATTTAACATAGTATAAAAGTCTGTAATGAATACCAACAATTATTTTGCATATATTCTTTCTTGGGGTTCAATGGACCCTGAAAGACCTTCTACGTATGGCAACATGAAAGTCCTGAATAGGGTTAATAGACTGGATCCTCCAGAACGTCACAGTGAGGCATTTATTTCTACATAATTTTACGATCCTGTGCATCAAGTTTTGCATTACAGAACTAGCAATTTATGTAAAACGATTTGAAAAAGGAAATATAATAGGGTCTCTATTTATTGTGTTTTCATAAACTAGTGAGCAACTTAAGCCTCGATTATACAACCTTGTGAATGCACACGGACACAACTGATGCATACGAGGAAACTTCAAAAAGTTCTCGGCCTCACCTGAAAACAACTGTATACTATAAAACCTTACGTTCACAAAACCTCAAATGTTTGAAGCAATCGGGAAAAAAATGAGAGGAAAGCTTAGAGCTGGCATGATGTTGCTCCGGGACAATGTGCCCGTCCACACATCACAGGTGGCAGAAGCGTCCAAACTGTTGCTCCATGGACCTTACCTACACGAGCTGGCACCATCTGACTCCTAGAAGTCACACAGGGGCAACCTGGACTTCTCATTGTCCTGGAGCAACAGCACTCCAGCTCAAAACTTTCCTCTCCTTGCAAAAAAAATGACGACAAACCTTTGAGTTTTTGTGATATAAAGCTTTATAATACACAGTTATGCCCTAAAATGAGGATTACGCCCCTTTGTTTCCAGGGGAGGTTGAGAACTTTTTGCAGTATCCTTGTGTTTATCATACTACTTTCTAGTCTGCTTGGAGGGCTTTGCTCACTACATGCACAGGGGTTGCCCTCGTGGTATAGTAGCTTCCCTGACACAAGTTGTTGGGCTGTAGGCAGACGTTAGCGGAGGGATCTACTCTTGTGGACTCGAGGAGATGACAAAATTTATGTCATGTGGACCAGCGTGTACTCGAGGATACGTGAAGTATAACACTCATCTGACCATGAAAATACTACTTGACTCTGCCCCACAATCTGCTCAGCTGTAATGCATGCTCTGCTGCATGTGCTGCAGACAGCGTTGAGAGTCGTGCAAAAAAGGAAAAAGAACACCCTCTGCTGGACAAACTATGTTATGACACCATTTCTAAATTTCCCCAAGCTTCTTTTTACTGGAGCTGCTCTATTTAAACACCCTGTTGTTGTATTCCACTGTCAGAGTTTAAAGGGAAAACAATGCAAGAGTTTCGACGAAAAAATAAAAAAATCCACTGTGACCTTTCTTGGATTCCACAGGCTAGTCTATTTGTGGCCTGAATGATATCTCTGCATTCTGCCCTTTCACTTAACATCCCAGCATCGCCTCCATGCTTTTAATCTATTGATGCGCCTCACAGTAAAAACCATGATTTGTACATATTGGTGAAGGATTTTAAAGACACTGGTGGGTCTTTATCTTAAATTCCTTAAGTTTTACATGATAAACAAAAGAAAATATGCCGGCATGACCTGAAGCCAAAGTGTCTTTTGATTCCAGTGTCGTGGTCTGTGCAGCAAAGTTCTCAGGCTGTGTGTAGTCATAGATACCTTTGAATAGTTTGTTGCAGATATTGAGCAGAGAGGTTCAGTTACCACGTCTCTTCAGTTACTGAAATTACGTTCAGCTGCCATGACGGCGGCGCCTCCTTGTTGTTGTTACTGCTGAGGTGAAACTCTGTTGGTCTGTAATCATGTCAGTGTAAATCAACGTAAAAACACCATCAACACCAGCGCTTGCTTTATGGAGGCAGTTCCAGCTGAGTGCAGATTCTAAAACCTCTTTTTCTTGGTATTTCTTTGTGCAGACTGGACTAATGAAGGTGCTTAATACGTGCCCGTTACTGGCAAAAGACAAACAATGCAGCTGTTTTAAACTGTACATATCGTATTTCATTCATGTTGCCTGTCAGCTCAGCCAGTTTATATTAATGCAAAACTCTGAATGCAAGCCATTTGAACTCTGTGTATAAACATCATATATTCTGTTCTGTGGCACTTATCCAGGTTGTTTTCTCCTTACTTGTGTTGCATGTACTCTCAGATGTACGTCGCTTTGGATAAAAGCGTCTGCCAAATGAAATTGTTGAATTGTATTAAATTTTAAGCATTAATTTGAGGATATTTCTGCCAGGTGCTTGAGATAATGGGGTGAAGGTTATAATTGTTAGTTACTGAATGTATCAGCGAGGTCAGAGCAGCTGTCCATGGTTGCGGGTGTGTGTCCAAGATGTTTGTGATCTCTGTTTTTTTGTATTAAAACATGTTTTCTATCCATTCCGTGCTTCATCTTAAAGGCTTTTATTAAATTTAGATTAGTTTGTGCAGCATTGTGTTGGCTTTTGGCACTGCATTTTAAATGGAAACATAAATGAGACTTAACCGACTTGTAGCTTCAGGTGTCTTTGAGGATGACGAATATCTTTTATAGATTTGCAGTAATGTGCTTGTATGTGTGCTTATGAAGCGTCAAGTCGCTCTCCCTGCCGTGGCTCAATAAGCAGACATTAGCATGGTGTCATTTGTAAGTTGTTTGTAGGATTTTAAAATGTTCTTTGGTGACTCTTAGTGGCGGTATTAAAAAAAGACACCAAGAGTGAACTAAATTCTTGACACCTTATGTCTTTTAAAATGCTTTGACAGATGCTATAATCACAGGGTTGGTGGAACTACATGGGGAGGGGAGTCAGGACTGTATTGCATGTGGCTGGTAGGTGGTGCTGTAGGACACAAGATGTGAAAGAAGACTGGCCCTGCAGAAACAGACTGGCCCTTTTTTTTTTTAAACAGAGGAGTTAGCCTTTAGCACCACACATCCACACATTCAATGCAGTCCTGACATCTACTCCCAGGTCATTTCACCACCATTCACACCTTGAATAAGTGAGTTTCTGGTTGCTGACAACTTCTTCGTGAGGAATAACCCACAAGTTGGCCTCAAATAAGTACCTGACACTTCCTGCCAGTAGTTTAGAACTGAGGAGACCTGGTGGATGAGTTGAAACATCTTCAAGTACTAAAGAGAGGACCGGCTACCTTCTATTTAAGTATTTGTCTGGAGTGAGGAGGGGGAGAATTGGACTATTTTTATCTGGTGTACAGTTTGAAAACAAGACTGACTGGTTTTTACAGTTGTGACTAAAGGGGGGTGCATTGCTCTGGGGTAGTTGATGAGGTGCTTCTATTCTGGATTTAGTAGCATCAGAACCTTGAAAAATTCACTGAAAATGAGAAAATATTTACTCATTTTAAAAGATTTAAGTCGTAAGTTATGTTAGAACCATAATCTGTGCTTCCACACTAAAGTACAAAGGTGCTTCAAAAGTTCCCAGCCTCACCAGGAAATGTCGCAGGACAAACATCGTTCTTGCATTACGTTTCAAGATAGTTTACTTGAAGCTGTTCTCTCCTTTTTTCTTTGATTGCAAAAAATGACAGCAAACATTTGCGTTTTTGTGGACAGTGATATAAGGCGTTGCAGTAAACAGTTATGCCCCAAAATGGGAGTCACGCCCCTCGTTTTCGGGCGAGGCCGAGCGCCCTTCTATAAACTCTGTAAATATTCTGCTAGCTGCTGAAGTGACCCAATTGCAAGCAGAACAACAAACGCATCATGTCAAGAGAGGGTTTTTTTTAATGTAAAAATACATCACTGTGCTTCAGCTACAAATCCATGGTTACTGTGTTTGAGATGAGATCAGCATCAACAATTCACAAGCCACTCCACCTACAAAATGAGTTAGTCTGAAAAAGTAATAAATATAAAATGATGTAGATAAAAGTTTTGTTTTGTTTTTTAAAAAAACAAACAGAAACCCTCGTACCTGATTATTAAACATTTAAATAACCAAAAGTTGGCTTTGCAATACTTAAAAACACCTGAAACTAACATTTCAGAAGTGTACATTAATCTCATTCTCAACAAAGAATACAACAGGAGGTGATGCAGTTTGTTTCCACCCCTTTTGCAGGTGCTACCTCAGTTAAAAGTGCGATAAGGTTAAGTGGCTTTCCACTGCAGGAACGAGGGGCAGGAGGGAACATTTATGGTCCCCCCAATCGGCCCATTTAGACTTTGTTTCCATCGTGGTGTAGGATCCAAGATCTTCTCCAAAGCAACGGAAAATACTAGTTATTGGACGAAACTCTGTTTTTAAGAGCATGTAGGAAATACAACAGAGGGTTTGCCGTGTTGTGAATATTTTGAGGATAATGTTTGAGAGAGGACTGCTACTCGAGGAGGAAGTCGAAAAACCAGGAGATTATGGCGCTTGTTGTCCCTTTCAAGATGAACCTAACAGCCTTGTCTTCTCCAACTTGAACCACCACCGCCCAGGAGTTTGTACTCCAGAAATGGTGCCTGAAAGAGGCTCTACTGGGATATTTCCTGCAGTCAACTCCCATGTAAAGATTCGGCTTCCCCTAACACAGCCCACAAGTTTCTGCAGTGGAAAACAACTTATTGGGTCCAGAAAACAAAAAATTAAAAAAAGACAAATGGATTCCTCTATACAAATAACAAACCATACCACTAGTTTGTTAATTCTGTGTAGAGAAAACCACTTGCAACCTTGAAGAGTCCATTACTAACATTCCGTAATACTGAGAGAGAAAAATGTAAACTGTTATCCTAGACTTTCTCCCAAAAAGGAGGCAGCAACATTATTTAAAGCCACAATCCTTGATGGGAACTGACAGCCCACGGCCCATCCGCTTTGGTTGTCTGAAGGATGAGGTTAGATCGCTGTCGTTAATGTCCATCTGTAGTGAGCTTATAACAGTGTTTGAGCAAAAAAAAAAAAAACGTACTAGGATAAAGACTGAAACGACAGAAAATGACAGTGTCAGTGCATCTCACTGTGCTCAGAAGGCATCTGAAGTTACATTCCTTGTAAACAGCAAAACAGAAAAGGAAATAACAAATAAGGATTGTGCCTTTAAAAACAACCAAATACTCCCATGAATCGACAGTACAGACTCATGCTTGAAACAGCTGACAGTTCCAGCTGTTCACCCCTGTCTTAAAGAAACATTACGTCACCTTAACATTTACCCTTTAAAAGTTCTGCCTGTGTAAATATCAAGACGTGTTTTATTATAAATAGTATTGGTTCCCTTGTTCTCAATACTCCCCAAGTACAGTATCAAAATACAAATATTTAAAGTGAAAACACCATCTAAAAATCAACCTACAGTCCCTCTGGAGGATTTTCGTAACCATGGCAGCAGCAGGAGAGGCATGGTGACGGCGTGGCTCCGTTTCCACCAATCCCACGCTTTTGCTGCTAAAATACTCCATAAATAAAAGTCGTACTAAAAATAGAATTTTCCCGTTCGTCAGCGTAAAAAATAATAAAATCCAGTGTCTCTGTCATACAACCACCTTGCCCTTGATGTCCAGCTTGGTGTTTTCACTCGCTTTGTTGGACTGCTCCTCTGTGAGGGTGATGTATGAGTACACCAGGCTGCCAGCAATACTGCAACAACACAAAGAGAGCAAAAGGCGTTAAAGCACACAAACACCTGTGCAAAGCTAAGTATTAATCAGGAAAACGAAGCTGTGCTTAAATATGTAAAACGCAGAACAAATGAAGGATAGTTTCAAACATCAGGCGTTTGTAGACGCCTCTTATGAAAGTGAAAATGTTTTGGAAAATCAGGTTGTTTGTGTATCAAAACAGCATAAAGGTGAACGTGTTGCGGCGCATCACGAGCTGCAGATTGGGTCGTATTTCCTAACAAGATCAAACATGCATGTCTGAATTCCTGCAGCGCTGCGACACATTAATGTCAGTAATATCTCTGTCAGCACTGACCATTGAGTTTTTTCACCAGAAGCAAATATTATCGAATAGTCTCAGTTGCAGGTCATAATAAGGAACAAGAACAATCCTCAAGCTAATAGGTCACCACTGGGACTACAAGAGCCCTGAGGAGAGCAAAGTTCCTTTTTGCTATGGATTCTTTTAATCAAGTCATTATAAATGAGTCATTTTGTGAGGCTTTCATATGAGAACTTTTCATTCAAATTCAACTGGACATAAAGATTTCACCTGATTTTTCTTTCCTATAAAGTACATTTTACAATTTTTGCAGTGCAGCTGAAGGGGATGGGAACGTTCTTGGTCACGACCCTAATTAGTGGACAAATTAAAACTGTAAACCAATGATGGTGCTAAAATGTTATAACAATTAATCCTGAATATTGAATTCTATAGCAATCCGTCCAATAGTTGTCAGCATATTTCACTTAAAACCACAAATGTAAAACTTTGGGTTTTAAGTTTGGGTTTTGTTCAATTCCAGTTCTTAACTATTCTTGACTCTGTTTCTTGAAGAGGAGGCAGTTTGGGGTAATACATGGTAAAATCTTTCCTTTACATGAATGCATAAGTGATAATAATCTAGTGATATAATATATAATGAGGAAACATTTCTCTGCATTGAGTACTTTTATTTAAATACCATAGTGCATTTTCCTACTCACATAATTTTACTTCAAGTATCATTTTCAACTCAAGACTTCTAGAGTGCAGTCGTAGTAGTTTTGCTGAAGTACAGGATCTGAGCACTTCCCCCACTGCTGTCTATCAAGGTAAACTAACACTTAACAACTACATGAATGAATGCAGTTCCTATGTTTTTTAAGCAGTGAAGTAAGCACACGCAGACTGCAAATGTCCCTTTAAAGAAGCTGCCGACATAGATTAATGGCTTTGTTATGGGAAGTGAGTCTCTCCTGGTGTGTGAGAGATAAAAGGACCAGCAGGTCGTCGCGGTTACAATAAAGTGTTGCTATGAGAGGTCATAAAATCAATCCGTAACAAGCTTTGATAAGCACAAGAGTTACTGGAATACTGTTTGTTTGCCGTCACAGAGGAAAAGCAAAGATTGTGATCATGTGACTGCAATGTCATTCTGCATTCTTCAGAGCAAAGCTAAGTGAATCGCTATTTACCGCAGATAAATATAAAGGGCAGAAACAGAGAGCTAGATTAAGAAATCAGTGGTCTCTTTTCCAGTTTCTGACGTATTTTGCTTTTACTTCACCTACTTTACTGTAACAGCAGGGTCCAATCTTGTCCATGTAAAGCATTTTGTAGCGTTTGCTCAGTTGAGGTGATAGTTACAAGAAAAATCACACAATTTGTGCCGTTTACCTGCTAATTAAGCAACTCAGCAACAGCAAATAGATTATCTGAGAATAATACTAGGCTTACGATTGATGATTTATGATGCACGAGGAGACAGAAAGATATTCAACTCGCATAATGTGGTGCAGACGGATAAACAGTAGCTGTTAACACGACACTGTTTATTCGAAACTAGAGTGTAAACTGTTAAGGAGCCGTTAAACAGAACTGCAATTACATTTTCATAATGCTCTTCTAGGAATTTGGAATCGGTTCAAGATGCCCAACCCTACTTACAGTGTCACTAGATATCATTAAAGCCACTAGGACAAAGTGTCTGAGAGCTAATCATGTCCTAAAGTCGATGTTGACACTGACCTGCTGGTGCACAACAGGAAATGTAAGAGGGCCATCAACATCAGCAGCATTCATTCTCCAGCACCATGAATATCTACACACAGCTTCATGCAAATCCATCCAAATCTGACCAAAGTGGTCGACTGAGAATGTTATCTACGGAGCCCATATAACTGTCTGTAATACCACACTGCTGACTTTGCTCCATCAGCCTAATAGTAGAATGTTACACGGGGGAGGAGTTGTGCTTATGTTCCTAAAAACATACCTGATGTTCAACCCTATGAAGTTAGTCCAAGAGAAAATGTAGTCTCCACTGAACACCATCCCGATGTACGTCACCAGGACATTCTGTGAAACGAACAAAATACAAATGAAGTGGAGCAGTTTCAGTTATTGCGTGTTTAACTGTTGCTTCACCGAACATCCAGCTCACCTTGACGCATCCCACGATCGCGGTCGTTAAAGCCGAGTTGTATTGCGTACAGAGCACAGTGGAATACATCAGTATAAACCTGCCAAAAAAAATAAAATGTTATCATCGTAGACATGACACAACACTTGTTCGAGCATGAAATCCGATTTCACAATGTTAACGCCACGTTGCAGACAAAGGGTCACTGTGAGCTTCACACTCAGAAACAGCAGTGGCCAAGAATTTCATTACTGATACCACAGTAATGACATTTAGATTGGTTTAATCCAGATGTTGCACAAACACATTCTTCATCGCACATGCATGCATTCTACGCTGAAGCTTTGGCCTGTATCTTACCCCATGATACAGGAGAGGATGAACTGGGAGAGGAAAAGCGCATCGGACCAACCATCATATTCCACAGCCTGACAGGAGAAGCACGGCGTAAGAAACAGTGGAAACACACATGCACACATTTAAAGCACACAAAAAAAACAAGGGCTCATGACTTTTTTTTAGACCATATTGAACATCTGAGTGCAAATAACTTGTTTATTATAAAATAAATAGTTTTAAATTCCAACTGTTCGCATATGCTTCATTGTGACTGTGTATGATATTATATTGCCACATAATTGCCAGAAGAGTGAAGTTCTAGCTACTGTAGCACCTACAAATCAATAAACTCACAAAGTTCCAGACAAGTTCAAAGCACAGGATTATATTCAAGCTGCGTCAACATCTCTGGCCAAAGAGGATTGGTGCTAAATATTAGTAAGGCAGGGCATTTTATGATATATTTCACAGATCTGCCAACTAAATCGTTACCAAACAATTTCTTCACCAATATGTTTGTAAAGGTGTGTAATAACATGTTTTAAAATGTTGAAGTTCAACTCCCGTGGGAAACCATGAAAAAACCTGCTCAAGTTAGGGTACCGATTAATGATTGTAGAAAAACTTTTTCTTTTTTTTCTTTTTCTTTTTTAAATCGGGCCTTAAGTAACTTATGAGGGTCAAATCAGGGTTTTGTCATGATTCTGAGTTGACTGTTAGCATTTATATTTCGCCACAAACACCCCATTGTTGAAAAAGGCCACACTCACGTTACATTTACATTCACAGTAGCTTTTGTTTCACATACTTATAAAATACTCAGAGCTATTTCTCATTCACAGTGTCAGAAGCTTCTAGAGTCATTGTCTATGTCTTCTTCAGACTCAACAACATCATGACAGCAGTTTCTGTATGTGATGCCTTTACAGACTCCACAGGCTGAGATGCTCGTGACCCCATTCTTCTTACAGCTGCAATCTCCATGACAATTACAGCTTGTGAACTCAGTAGCTCCTCAGGAGCCATGGGGTCTAGTGTTGGAACTGGCTCATACCCATGCACACCTAATGTTCATCCATAGTCACTGGGCTTCAGAGACCTGCTCTGTAGAAGGATCCAGTCCAGGTCTACAGGTAGGCTCAGAGTGAATGCTGTGCAGCTGCACTCTGTGATAGAGGTAGAGTCTCTGGTTTGATCACTCCTGCTGCCGCCTTCCTTGAGAACATGTTGTACCAAATTTCACCCAATTTAGTATCTGGTCCCTGATAAATGTACTGGAAAATCACAGTACCAGCCTGAATCACTGCCTCCCTTATTATTTTTCATATTTTTGCTATGATGACAATAATAATAATAATAATAATAACTTGAGCAGGTTTTTTCAGCGTTTCCCACGGGAGTTGAACTACAACATTTTAAAACATGCTATTACACACCTTTACAAACATATTGGTGAAGAAATTGTTTGGTAATGATTTAGTTGGTCGATATTCATATGTTCCCCTTACTATATACTCAGTGAATAATGTTATATTATTGTTATTTTTAAGTTCAGACAAGCTGATTATTTGTGATGCCGCGCCTACAAGCAATTCAAAGACATTACTTCATTTGATTGTGGACTTGGTGCCATTATAAAGCTCTTATAACGGCACCAAATCTGTGACGTACAGGCAGCTCTGTGCGGGAGTGTGTGTTCAGTTGCACGCCACACTTCTTGCCTTATTTTCAACAACATCAAGCTCACTCTGGGGTGAACTCTCTCATACTGAGGCAAACATTTTAACTGCCTGCTCCAAATGCCATGAAAAACACTCTCCTTTTATGGTTATTTTTAGAAATTCTGGATTTTATACTTTCGAGAATAGCGTAGGGGTACTACTGTGGAAACACTAATACTTCTCTATTTTCTAGAGCTAGAAACTACCAAAATCAAATTCCGTGCTTTTACATTCTGTGTAAGAACTCTGTGAGTCATTGCTTGTGTGTCAGATCAGTGAAGGAATGGAAATGAAGTGAGTTAACTGAGCACTGAGGAGATTCCGGGAGTTGATGACGAGACCGGCAACACAACTAACTCAAACCTGCAAATTCAGCATTGAGTTTCCAATAGCTTAAAAAGTTCAGCAGCTGGTGTCTCTACTGCGATTATTCAGTCAAGGGCAGTTGTAGGCGCTGCTGTAATAACTCTGCGAGGTGCATAATAGCATCTTTGTGTCTTTCTGGCTGCTGGGCCCCAGCTGGGCAAACCAAAAGGTCTCTGCCAAGACTGACCAACAGCACACGCCCAGCCTTACACATATGTGCACTCACTTTAATTTAGGATTAAACCCTGCAATAACTGATCAGCGCTGAGCCCACAAACTCCCGACAGGGCTTTAACTTGAAGGTTTGGCCACAAGAACTGCCATGAATACAGAAATTTGGAGGTTTGAAGGAGGAGAAGTAGAACAGAAGAATCAAAGTGCTCACCTTCTGCATGTCTCCAGTCACGTGAGCCAACAGCAGAGTGGGAAATATCATAAATAATGCATTATAATACAATAATCCATATTTCCCTAACTCCTGCAAAAGAAAAGGAAAAAAGAGCAGAGAAACAGATGGGAAGGGAACATTAAAATAAGCACAGCCAGAACAGAGAGTTATTCACAAGTCTTTCAGTGCATTCCTCACTAACTAGCATACAGATGTCATGCATGGCCAGCCCACTGCACTACCTAGAAACTCTTATTTCTCACACGACGTCACCCACACACACCCTTCTGTCTCCCTCAGGACTAGCAGATGGTGCTCTACAGACATCATAGACTAAATCTGGATGCCATTCTGCCTCTGCTGTAACGTGAGAGCCAAGTCGTCTGCTCGTGTGACATGAAAAACACGTAAAATAAGCTACCAGACTAAAACGATGCTTAAAAATCCAAGAGGCTGTTTAAAATCATCAGTAAAGCAGCACTGCAGTGTTTTAGAATACCATGGAGTCACAAATGATACTTTCTCTACAAAAACACATTTAAATACAGCTAATTAAATCAGTCGGTAGGGAGTGAAAAGAACCAAGTCAAGGTATTTGTGCACACTGAGTTCCTTTAAACGAGAAGCTGAAGGACAGTTTGAGTTCTCTACATTCACAAACATCAGCTCAATGCCAAAAAAAGCTCCCACCCAACAATGGTCACTATTCATCAGATCTTGCTGCCACATACCTTTGCATCTAATTTTTGTTTCACATAGGCTCCGTTGGCAGCAGTCAGAACATCGTTCATGAGTATGAACGCGTAGCCGTGGAGGTCAAAGGACAAGTCGGCACTATGAACAGAGAAAACGGGAGAAAGTGTCAAGAAAGTAAATACGTGTTCTGTCACTGACAATTTAGCTTTAGGCCTGCTGTGATTCAGCAGAGCTCCTTTAACTATAGCTGTACAACATGACCCTAGAACATTACATTAGTGTGGACATATATCAGGACAAGGCAACCCTTTGTAAGTGAAGGTAATTCTGGCCTGCTTAACAGCTGAGACACCTGGATGTAGTAGAACTTACCTTGCAGCGATAAACGCCCCAAGGATCATTGTAAATACTGTCAGTTGGACTGCCCTGGAGAACTTCTTCCTGCCACGGGTCAAACACAAGGACAATGAAATTCGATCTGACTGCTCTGAGCTGTAAATAAATGCCACTGTATAAAGAGAAAAGCATGTATCACAGAAAATGATGATAAAGAGTGTTACGGGGAATCTTACTTCAGCAGAAATCCCTCTGCCAGCATTGTGAATAAGACGGAGAATCTCCTGAGGACAGTAAACATTGGCAGGCTGGTGGTGGAGGACGTAAATTGAGATAGCAAATAGTTAGTAAAAACATCATCAGCCATGGCAATGAAGTTCAACTTCCTCTTTGATCAAAGCTTAAACCCCTAGAAAACTAATCACTGTGTATCAAGGTTACATATTTAGAAGTTTTGCCATGAAAATAATCCCTTTCTGCTTAAAAATGGCTTAAATGTGACTTGTCTCCTGCTATCTCCACTCACTGCAGCTCAAGCACACCTGATCACGTACAGCTCTGCTCAAACACTGTAAAACTTCTCTGTGACACACACTAGTAAGCTGTAATATTAAAGTAAGTCAGCCATACATGTTTGAACTGGAAACTGACTGTGAAGAATAATAGTAAAACAGAAACCTTTAAGTATGTAATACCCTAACCCTTAAGTTAATGAATTAGATTCCTTAGGTTTGTTTCATTAAAAAACACTGTGTGTCTGAGTTTTTAGACTATCGCTGGTAGACAGCAATTTCAAAGGGGAAATGCATCAATCTCACTCATAAGTCCTCCGGCACTTAAAAAACACCAAATTGACATGCTGACAAGCACAAAAACAGGGAGGGTCTTTAACTGTCGAGATGATTTAGAGACAAGAACTTACTTCAGCCTTTTGGTTCCAAAGAGACCAGTGATTTGATTTCCCACATAAAGAAGAGGTAGAGGAAACGTCTAGAAAACATGAAAATATATTAACATTTTGCTGAGAAAGAACAGCACTAATGCAATGTAATGCATTATTTAGAAGTGAAGCCATAAGAAGACAAACTGACTGATAGAAGCTCGACAGGCAGCTAAGCTGGGGCTGCAACTATTTTCATTGTTGACCATTTTTGTGATTACTCAAATAGTTGTTTTGTCTATAAAATGTTGGACAATAGTTAAAGATGTCAGTCAGTGTTTACCAGAGCCCAAGATAGTGTCCCTAAATGTAGTGTTTTGTCCACAAGCTAAAGATACTCAGTGTACTGTCACAAAGGAGCAAAGAAACCAGACAATACTTGAATTTAAGAATCTGGAATCTGACAATTTACTCTTCGTTTTCTATTAAACGAGTGCTCAAACCTGAGTCGTCCATCAAAAAATTTTAATTAACAGCTGACAACTGACTGCTCTTTCTACTTCTACATACATTTATGGCTTGTGACAAAAAACTGCAGGATATATTGCGGAGAACTTTTAACCCAAAGTCCATAAGGGTATAGTCTAAACAAAAATGCATTTAAAAAGTAGTGCCCAGACATGGGAACGAAAATCATTTTCTAGCCACTTTTTCATGGTTCACCTTATGGTCTATTCTGCTAGCAGATGAAAATCAGATTCAAGGCAATAATGTTAATTTTTTTTTTAAAAAGCTTGTTTCAGTGTCTATAGTTGAATAGACTGGACATATTTGAGATATGGACAACAAAATAGGACATCGAATTACCCCTTACACAGACTTCTAGAAACGTTATGGTTATAGTCTCACCTTTTACAGCCTATCAAATTAATCATCAACTATTCTGATTATCAATCTGTAACAATGCTCTGCCTTCAGCTTGGGACACTTGAATATTTTCTGGTTTCTTTACTCCCCTATGACTGTAAACTAAATATTTGTGGGATGTGGACATTTGAAGACGTCATGTTGGACAATTTGCACCTTTTTTCTGCCATTTTATAGACCAGACAACTATTCGATTAACTGAGGAAGTAATCGACAGATTGATCGACAGTGTAAACGGAGGTTATTTGCAGCTCTGCTCACCTTGCGAGGTATGCTCTCATCAAAGTCAGGGAAGCTGATCACCCTCGCAGCCTTGCCCACCCACAGCACAATCACCGTGGCCAACATCTGCACACAAGAGCAAATCAGTACGACTGCTCTACCTGGCTAGTCTTCAGGGGGGAAAAATGTTCGCTTTAATAAAAAAAAGGAAGAAAAAAGGAGGGACGGTTTTCAACTTACTTGTCCTATACCGACACATATTGAAGAAGGGAACCTGAAACAGCAGAGTTGAGTCTCCAGTCAACGTTACAGCACACTGTAGTTAGCTAACCTCGTATTTACTGAAATGTTTAAATACGCCTTGGCAAAATGCTACAGAAAGCCAAGCCGCCCCGTTTCTGTCTGTTTACAGCTCGGTAGCCAAAAGTTGCCGTTAAGCTAATTAGCTCCACGGCGTCGGCTCGACACAACTTCCAGCAGCTAGCTAGTCGGCTAACGCGGCGGCGGCCACACTTGAAACCGTTACCTGTAGTTGGTGAGGACGCTCTTGTTCACCACGACGATCACAAACGAGCTCAGACCGTAAAATCCGGCGGCAAACAGCTTCACGAACAGTGTCAGAGGTTTGTCCGCCATCCCCGACAAGTTCTCATTCCTCTGTGAGTGTCGGCTCTTCCTCCCCTGCCATCATCACTCCGCTGGCTGGCTGGCTGGCTGGTTCTCCCACCGACACACAAACACACACGCGGGCGCGTGCGCGCGCACTCTCTCTCCCTCTCTCACACTCACACACACACACACAAACTACACTGCATACACACACTCAGGGACGTCGACGTTTCACAACTTCCGCCCTCACATCACAGAGCCTCAACTAATTTAGTTTAGACTTTGTTGTTGCTGGAAATTAACATAAGAATAATGTAAAAACATCAAATACGGCGCAAAAAAAAAAAAATCAAACAAACGTTTTTTTAGTTTGTTTGTTTTACAGATTGGTTGGAAATTTAAAGCAGGATGTGGATGGAAGTTTATCTTTTCTGCAGCATTACTATTCCCCCCATACTCTTCATACATGAATATATATACTGGGGTTAACGGCACAGCACTTCCTGGTTTGAGCCGGACATGTGGCCTGTTTGGTCCAATCACAAATTAGAACGTACATTCATTCATTACTAGACATATAGTTGTAGCTAGAAGTGCAGTTTTATAATGTTTAGGATGTGTTTGGTGTCCGAGCAAAATTATAAAGGCAGCATGCAAATTATTTTTTAGACTCTAATTTATATTGTTACACTGTAAAATGTAATTTATGTGCCACATATATGGAACAAACTCCCAGAAAACTGCAGGTCTGCTGCCACACTTAAATCAGAGCTGAAGACTGTTCTTTTTTCCTTTCATTAGGTAATGCATATTTTAAAACTGCACTGAAACGTCTTTATTTACATGTGATTGTATTTTCTGATTCTCTAACTTTTATTTATGTTGAAATTGTCTTGATGGTTTTTTATGTTTCATGTTGCCTTGCTTTGTTGTTGAAATGTGTTGCAAATAAACCTACCTTGTCTATAGCATTATAAAGGATTTTAGCCAAGTAGACTCATCTTTTCTAGTTACCTTAATGCAAGTATGCGTCTTGCTACTTTCAAGTTAAGATGATCACTGGTCCATCCCTGTAAATACTAACAGCCGGACTGGCCTGGAGAACTTCCTCCTGCCACAGTAGAACAATGAAATTTGATCCGATTGCTCTGAGCTGTAAATAAAAGTCACCGCTACTTTACAAAGAGAAAGTCTTGGTATCACACTAAACTAAAAAAACTAAAAAAAAATTACCAGGAAAAGTGTCACATCCTTCTTGATCCTTCTTGAGCAAAAATGCCACAGCCAACATTATGAATAAGATGGAAAAAACCTCCTGAGGACAGTAAACATTGGCAGACTGGTGGTAGAGGACAGAACTTTCAGAATTTTGAGTTTTCCTTTACATAATAAAGACATTTCCACCATGAACAGATGCAGAAAAGGCAGAAACTGATGCATAAAAATTCACCATTATGCAGGAAATTCAAAGTTTCCTGGGGTGAAAACTCATGGATTCCTAATCAGTCCCCCGAGTATTCAAATGGAACCTTCAGCCATGTTTCCCCTTTTACAGTTTTATAGGCATTTGCGTGCATTATTTATTCTAAAAAGTAGAGTTGTCACAACAGCAGCTGCAACAGAAGCAACAGAATACATGATGTCGTGTTTACTATTCAACCACAAGATGGAGGCAAAACACATGCTTATTTAATACATGCAGCAGAAGAAATAAGTTGATGTGAACACATTCACATATCGCATTGTGTTTAGGAAAGAGTACCTCCCGGTATATTTGGGTCAAGGGTCTGCTAAACAACAAAAGGATACAATAGACTTCTATGTCTTTAAAGGGAAAATGTCCAAAACAAAGGCCCCTCTGAGATCAGACAGCAGAAGTCCTCTGCAAAGACAATGAGGCTGCAGATGAGGACTCTGGAAGGGACCAGCAGCAGCCTGTGGAGTCATCGTGGGACAACATCCAGCATCCTGACCGAGCAGACTGTCCACTGTGCCAGGATAAACAGACAACACAGCAGCCTGAATCAGACACCAAGCTGGGACTGGTCCTTCTGAGAAGCTGCTCCCGAGTTACCAGATTTACCAGACAGCAGCTAAAGATCAGAGCATCACGTGTCTGGCTGGAAAACATTATTGCCAGCTGGCCCCGTGACGATTTTCTTATTTAGGATAAAAACAAACTGATTCTTGTTGGGAATTCTTCCGTATGTTTTTATAGTAAATTTTCAATCATGTGAATTGGCTGCTACTCACTGAGTTATTATTAGTAGTTTATTCAATGCATCTGTCCTCCTTTCATTTTGAAAATTGGCCATTTGGCAAAGCACATTGAGCGACATTAAATATGTAAAGAAAACGATGGGATACTGTAAGGTTCAAAAACTGTACAATCTGCTAAAATACCAGAAAATATCATTAAAGCAATGACATTTTATCTTATTCAAACACAGTAAAACTGTGTAATTGTATGGACAAACATAGTAAAAAAAAACAAATCCGACTGACTGAATGATCATTATTGTTGTATATAATATATGTTATATTGATTTTAAAAAAAAAAAGAGCTTTTACAAGATTGAATTTCCCTTCTGGGATAAATAAAGTATTTTTCATTTCATTTCATTTCATTTCAGTAATACTACAAATTACTATCAATCGCTACAGCTTTTTAGATGTGGAACTGGTTAGTTAACAGTCAACTTGTAAATTAATACATTTTTCTGTGATATCATTGATGTTATCTACAGATTTAAAAACAGGGTCAATCTACCAGTTGATAGGTTGAAATTATTTTGAATTTTTTCAGTCCTTCTAAATATTTTTTCTTTTTAAGAAAAGGCAAATGTCTGTAAAATAATTAAACTTTTGGTATCTTTTGGTGCTGCCTATTTGTATATATTTTTCCATTTAAAATGTTCTTTTCATGCTATATACTTATACAAGTTATTTTATAGTGACTACAAACTTACACCAGTTACATGCTACTACTTAATTTACTTTTACAGATTCCATGTGACACACAGTGATTTCACCAGAATAAGTCATCGAAGACAAAAGCCCATAAATGCAGTCATTTACTATCAGGAATAAGATTTACAGTAATTTTGCCTCTTTGAACCAGAGCTTTTTTACAGTAATAACCGACCACAGAATGAAGGAAAGCTTTCTCACCTGACCTTGCAAAAGCACATGTGTATTTTGGCAGGTGGTTGGGGGTTAACCTGACGTGTCTCTGATAAGACATATGTCTGTGCATGTGCCACGTTGTCAAACACAGAGAGTTGTTGAGTCAACCCCTCATTGATTCTCTTTTTCAAAGAAGAATCAGAGGAGGACATCCAACCTGAGCCATGTCCGGACTTAACGCATCTCTCGGATACTTTGTGGCCATTGTGATTTTTGCAGCCTTAGTCCGCACGCTCCTGAGAAAGTGGCCACGGTTCAGCTTCATTTCAGAGTTTGCCTCCTCTTTCATGCTGGTGGCATGCTGGCTGGAGGTGCAGACCATTGTGGAGGTGGGTCAGTGGGCCGGGGCCTTGGGTCCTGATGTGGCGGTGACCATGCTGTTTGGCCTGCTGCTGACCCACGGTGTCATCTGTGGTGCTGCGTCGGGAAATCCCAGCCTGGTGGTGCAGAAGTTCCTGCAGCTCGAGGCCTCCACCCTGCACACTCTGCTGGCTGTGACAGCTCAGTTTGCCGGGGCTCACCTGGCCCTTCTTGCAGCTGTGTACTACTGGAAACTGGAGCTGACAGACATGCACATGATCAAAAACCTGATGGCAGCAGAGTGCAGCACATCTCTGCTGGTTTCTGTGCTTCAGGGCTTTTTTACTGAGTTTGTCTGTGCATTTATCCTTCATCTCATATACTTGAGCCTGCAGCGCAGATCAGCTCTGATCCGGGTGCCACTGATCGCTGTCCTCCTCACATTCTTTACCCATACAGGTAAGTCTTGTGTGAACTCCTGTTTCATCCTCACAGCATTCAAAAGCAACTCAGTCATATATTTCATCCTCTGCTTATTTAGAGACACCACACAAAGGATTGCCAACATGCAAGAATGTGTTCGCACATTTATATTTTTCCCTACAGAAAGATTACCTTTCTACCATTTCTGAAAACAAACTGAAACTTTTGCATCTGCTTCCATGGTCTTCAAAGAGTCTTTAACTAGTGTAACTAAAAGCAACTAACATAAGCTTTACTTGTCCATTCTTTTCTGCAGCCAGAGGCTACACCTCAGCCTACATGAATCCATCGCTGGCGTACGGACTCACCTTCCACTGTTCTGGATTTACCTTCACACAGTATGCAGTGGTCTACTGGCTGGGCCCTCTCACAGGTAAACCACATTAAATCAAATATATGTGCTTCAGCAGTCAGTTTTTGAAAGGTGAACAGTCTTTACGGTGTACCTCTTTTTTCCAGGCATGACTCTGGCTCTTCTTTTGTACATGGGTCATATTCCGAGGATTTTTGCCAAGAACCTTCTATATTTCCAGAAGACACGTTTCAGAGTACCAAAAGGAGAAAAAGCAGAGAAGAAGAAGAAGAAGTGAAAGATTATCTTTATTTCAAAAAATCTACACTTGATAACCAATGCTCAATGTCCAAAAGATGTTTACTTCAATTTAATAGAACTGTGTAGAAAATTTTACATATTTGGGATGAAAAATAATGACAAAAATCTATTTAACAGATCCTTTCTTGTCTCTTGTTTTCAATGAAACCATGTCTAAAGTCTTTCCCATTGGAATAAAAAAAAGGGATCTCCAACATGTGTATGACACCATATAGTGGCCACCAGGTGGTAGCATCAACAATGAGGCTGCTACAGGCAGCAGTATGGGCCAAACACTAAAGCAATGACGCAAACACAATACAAGCTTGCATTATAAATAATGTCTGATCCATGGATATATGAAATCAGTCCTTTTAAATTTCAAAGTGAAGCGAGAGGAACTGCTGCGGTTACGTACTGGCAGAACTCCGTGCAGCACTGGGTTTAGAAGACTGTGACTTATCAGGCTCTGTGTCTTTTGGTTGATTTTTAGTAGATGCTTCTGGATCTGTAGACAGAAAGAATACAGTCAGTATCAGGTGTTTGCAGTGAAATCTGAATTTACTGAATTACGCAGTGTGCTTGTATGTGAGGCATGTTCTGTACAGGTGGCGAATTTCACTAATAAATCCAGGAATGTCAGCCTGTCTGTGTGCCTGTTCTTTTTATATCTCTGCAAATATACATCTGATCTGCTTTACATTTGGCAGATTTACTGCTGGGGATCCAAGGAAGAGCAGTGTCTAGGGTAAAGTCATTTGGAATATTTGTGATCCTATATTTGGGGGTCTTTTTGAGATCTTCGGTGGGCCTTTAGCTACTTGTGTAAGGCCAGTGCTAAACTTTCAAGTGAGTACATGAGGGTGAGGTAGTGTCCACGTGACGTAAGTTTTGTCATCTCCAAAAGGCTGCAAGAGTCTGGGCGGACCCCCGTTTGTAAGCCCACAATTTTTTCATGCAATTATGCTACAATAGCAGTAGTGCAAATCCTCAGTGGTAGCATACAAACATGGAACACAGACACCGATCTGCTGTGTATGTTTGCAACGGTGACCTCTAAGTATAATAACAACAACTATACACTGAACGTGTACCACTAGAAAGTGGTATGACGACAACAACTGCTCATTCACAGTATCTGCAGCTGTCTGTGTGCATATCCACAAGAGAGTATAATTAAGGCTCAAGTGGCTCTTTTTGTTCAGCAGCATCATTAAAAGGCAAATGCAGAATGTCGCCAAATGTCACTCTGATAATAGGTTCAAAGACAAATGATTGGGTTACAGATCAAAGACAAGATCTAAAAATACTGTCACACATCAAGGACGTTAGCAGAACTTATCATTTGAGGTTAGTCACCTGGCTGCTTTTGCTGCTCCAGCTGAGCCTCAGGTCGGTCCACCCATAAACAGTAATCTGGATTGTTCAGCAAGGTCTTACTCTGGCCACAGCTGAGACACCTCACCACAGTGAAGCGTGTCTTGTTCTTCTTTCCTTATGAGATGAATTAACAACAAAAAGAGTATTTTATTATCCATTTATAAAGCACACACACACATGAACTGATTAACTAAAAGCCTCTACAGTTTATATTCAACCTGTAACGCCAGGTAACAGGAAAATGACCAACTTGCTTACTTCGTTGTCTCGTTGTAGCTGTTACACCCGGGATGAGCAACGTGCTGCACTTCTTGCATAATGTTCTCTTCACTGATGGGTCTCTGAAACAAAATGAATCATCAACATTTTAGTCCATCCAATGTGCTTCAACTTCTTCATCGTGTCTGTGGGCATCAACCTCAAGAACACTGGTTTCTACAGATGTCACAGTAGGATACGGCACTTATCTAGATTGTTTTCTCCTGAATAGATCCTTGCCTGTGTTGTATCTGCTCTCAGATGTACGTCGCTTTGGATAAAAGCACCTGCTAAATGAAACTGTACAATTGTAGGATCCATAGGAGTGTCTCCAAAGCAAGAGAGGTGTGCACATATATATATATATTATAAACTACCCCCAAAATGGAGACACAATTGGTCAAGATATCACAGTAAATGAATGAACAGTGTTATAAGCTACAATTAAATCATTAGTTACGGAGTTGAATCTTGAGCTCCACACAGTAGACATTATTTTATTATAAAAGTCTGGTCCATTTAACAATTCTACAATTTCATTTAGCAGACGCTTTTATCCAAAGCGACGCACATCTCAGAGCAGATACAACACAAGCAAGGATCTAGTCAGGAGAAAATAACTGAGATAAGTGCCGTAGAACAAATTTAAGTGTGATAGGGCGCTGATGCCAATAGCAGGCTGTGTGGGAGGTAATAGAATTCTTTTTTTTCCCATGCTGTCAAGTGCAAAGGTGTTCATTTAGTGAAGATACTTTTTTCCTGTCATATCAAGTGTTCTTTAAATGGTAAATTTTCAGTTTCACAGGAGGATAGTGGCATTATTGTGCATACGAAAGCTTTACAGAACAAGACCCAATGATCTTTAAAGCAACTATCAAACTATGGCTATGGGTAGCAATGAAAACACCTTTTATTATACCATAATTGGATGCAGTTTGATAAATGATCACACATGGACAGAACGTTCAATTTTAAAATCATACATAAACTATGGATGTTTTGCCAGTGAGTGAAATTTTTTCCCTTCAAATACACTGAAGCATCTCCTGGCTGTTTTGAACTTTAGAACACAAAATGTAAACTGTACCCGTATTAGTGATGTACTTAAAATGACTAGTAACTGTAAAATGAGAAACTAAAGTACATCAGTATGTGATTTCTCCTATTGGCATAGTTTTAAACTAGCCTTTAATAAACGTCCTGAGCTTTAGTTATATGTTTTGTTTGTTGTGTGCCACCCCTATAATATCAGTGGATCCCCTTAAGAAAACTTTTTTAAAGTGCTCCTAGTTTTATCATATAAAAACACCCTTTAAAAACCCTTGATATTTATTTATGAAGGTACAAAAGTAGAATGTGTGCTCATGTATGTACATATAAAATCAACAGGAACACAAACTTTGCTAGCAGATGAGGGAAACTTACTCATGAAAAGACCTCCAGTATTTACAGACCAAAGCATTAATTGACTTAACTTACTGTCTGAGAACTAAACGTCTGGCAATCGTCCTCTGTGTGAAGCAGTAGAACCGAGCCAGCTCCACGTTGTTCGGGTTTTCAGATAAAACACAATGTGCAGCCTGTAGAGACAAAACACGGTTGAGTGCAACTAGCTTAGCACGACAGCTAGCATGTTAGCCGCGTGGTTTCAGCCGTTAGCGTCCTGACAACGACTCTATTTAGATATTTTCCTACCTGGTACAGATAATTTAGTCTCTGGTAAGCTTCTTTGTCTTTTAAGTGGACTGCCATTATACATAAATGTCAGAAAATACAGACTTTTAGCTTCGTTCTGATGTTACAGCAGCTTCCGTATGACTTCCGCCACGTGACACCTCCAGAATAAAAGCACAGGAAACACCCCAAGTACAAAATAAAAACACCAAAATCGACACCTGTATCTGCACTGTTAGACTTTAGTTACTCAAACAAAGCCCAGACTAACAAAAAATAAAAATCTTCATATTCTACTGTATAAATCATTTGCTCTATTACACTACTTACATTATTCTAGTGTCAAATTGCAGCTTTAGCAAAATAAAGGTAACTACACACCAATCACTCTCACACCCAAAATCACAAAAGCAAAAACAGTTGCATTTATTTGAGTGCGCAGACAAAGTTGTTAGTTGTCCAAAACAAACAAACAAACAAAAAAAGAAACAAATTGTCTCCACCAGCCTTCGACAGCTAACCAGTATGATATGGCCACAATTCTTTTTTTTTCCTTCTCAAACTAATTATTAAGTACACAATATACACATGGGAAAAGCGCATCTGTTTAGTCCGGAAGAACACAAAGGACAGAGTTCAACATACAATACTCATTTTTAATAACAACAATAGAGAAGAAAGTATAAACCCTGTCAATCTAACATTTTAATTTGCCTGTAAGGTGCGCCTCTGGTATCAGGAGACTAATGGTACAGGGGGAAACGACTGGTACAGTAGGTCTGTCAGGAGTGACAACTGTAGAACAACACAATCACAGCACATGTCCATGATGATCGATGCACTGAAATGTTTCCTATAAAACCGGTAAGAGAAATGTCCATAAAACATGGGTCGATGTGGAAATAGCAAGTGTTCATTGAATGAGACACATTATATAACAAGAAGGGGGACAAACATGAAATTCAAGTATCAAAATAACTAAGACACTGACAAGCTGAAAAGGTCAATTTCAAAGGTAGTAAAAATCATGGGAAAAAAAAGAGACATTGACACAATCAACAATACATTAGGCAACATTTTGCATTTGTTTAAGGCAGTTGATTAAAAAAACTAAATAGAACTAGGCGTCTTCTTCATTCCAAGTTAAATACAAGCCTAGCCCTAACTTGTAACCAGGAGATGTGATGTACAAAATTAACTATGCCTGACTCTGAAACTAAGCACTTTAGTTTGACTTGTCTTCTGACGTCTGAGTGAGAATAGAGTTCATATGGACAGCGGTGGGGTTGTGCTCTAGATTTTTGGTCTTCTTCACAGTGAGGTTTGTCAGGGCTTACAAGGCTGGTGCATCAAGAGTGGCAAGTCACTCTCAGCCTATTGTCTGGCACGAAATCTAAATGGTTGGCACATATCTGTGCACAGCATGGGAAGGCAGGGTAGCTAGTTTCATCAGCTAACGATTGCCCTTCATTGCCTCCTTGGCTGCCAGAATGAGAGGTGTGAGGCTGGAGAGAGGCTTCGCCAGCTTCAGGAACGGATGCTGGATGACAGGAGATCAACAAAAAGAAGAGGAGGTGGGGACAGGAGAAATATATTAAACCACTGTGTAAATTACATTAAAATACCAATGAAATGAAATGGGGGAAAAAAGCCAACAGCCAGGAGAGTTTTTAACCTGCAAGAGCTCTTTCCCTCCGCCTCTTTTCTCTACATCCATTTCCAGGCAACGGTTGAGGAAATCTCTGAAAACTGGAGACAGCTTCTCGGGATTCTGAAGCTCAGGTGTGCCGTTTGTGGCAATCAGGTATAATGCCTGAATAAGAGGAAGAGACGAGAAAAGGAACACACAAGTGTTAGGTGTAGTTTTGAGAAACACGCTGTCAGCAAGTGAAACGAAACAAACCAAGAAATGTTTGAAATGTGATGCTTTTAGTTTGTGCTGTTAATTAAACCACCATGTCCTAAACTGTCATTAAGTCTTACTGCTTGCTCGGGATATTCATGTGAAAGATGTGAGGTTTGTAACATGTAATGTGAACCGACCAAGAGATGCACAGTCAGCATGAGATGATGTGGGGCTAGGCCTGAGCAACAAAAGCACCAGAAATGAAAACTCCATCAATAGCAATAAAAATACTGTTTGTTAGTTTTGCTTAGATGCATTAAATGCAAATTGCCACAAAAGCACACAGCAAAAACGCCATGTTCAGTTGCATGAACAAGCTCCAACCTGCTGACACCCTGGCACATAAGCAGCCTATTGTATCCCTTGATAACCAGTAACTCTGACCCTCGGTTGGACTCCCCATGGGTTTTGTGCAGGTCTCCCTACGTGTACTAGCCTGCAAATTTATTTAATGAAGGTGTGATATCTCCTTTATCCTCTTTTATTTTTATTTATGTGAGTAAATGTATTTATTTGTGTGTTTTTCATTGCTGTGTTGACATCGCTTAAATCGAGGAACAGGCTAAAGCAGTCAAATCCAAATTGAATCTTATTTCTCTTGGTCTTCATTAAAAATAGGTCATTAAAAGTAACACCAATTGTCAATACCAACTGAAATTAAGCCTTTTGTCATAATCATTTTTTCACCTATATCACCCAACCCTGATTGGCCCAATAAATTCATAATTAGCACTAAAAAGTTGCATTATTCAATGGATGTACAAGCAGAAGAAAATAATCTCTGTATACAATCACAATGTTAATTCAACAGAAGTTACAGACAGTAATACAAGGAAAGAAACTGGAGAGAAGTATTACTGCATATTGGTGACTTCAACTAACAAGAAGTCAGCTGGTAATTGACTAGCTTTTACCCTACATGGGAACAAGAGGGTTTAAGGCCTGCAGTTGTTCTACAACTATGCCAAAGTGTGACAGACAGAAACCACTGATCTTATTTTCAGTAACCGAATCACTAATCGTATACAAATCTGAAACTGTTGTGGCAATGTACTGCGGCTTATTTGGAAAGTTTTGTGTCAAAATGGTACAAAGAATTTCCCTGGTCACCAGACGTAAACCCATTCTGCTCCCCTCTGTACCAAAACTTTCTTAACCAAGAAGCATGACTCACTCGTAGTGGGTTCTCGTTCAGGTAGGGAGGCTCTCCTTCAACCATCTCAATGGCCATTATACCCAGTGACCAAATGTCTACTTTAGGGCCGTAAGCCTTTCTGGTCACCACTTCAGGAGCCATCCAGTAAGGCGTGCCGACCATGGTGCTGCGTTTGCTCTGCTCTGGAGTGATCTGGGCACAGAAGCCAAAATCGGCTGTCGAATACACAGAGAAGAGTAAATCAATAGTTACAGTGGAAGGACATAGTGATCTACATCTATGAAGGTGATGCTGCTGCTAGCTGATAACAGCAGCGCAGGACTTACTCAGCTTGACCGAACCATCCATCCCAAGCAACACATTGTCACTTTTGATGTCTCTGTGGATGACCTGGTTAGCGTGTAGGAAATCCAAAGCTTGTAAACACTGCAGACACGGAGACAAGAGGGAGGCGTGGTTGTACATATGGCTTTTTGTTTCAACTTTACCATAAAGTGGAACTTAGATTTATACTGATACAGAAATTCATTCCTGCCAACAGCCATCACCTTGAAAAACAAGTCTGACTGACTGACTGATTATTATTGTTGTATATGTTATATTGATAACAAAAAAAAGTGAGCTTTTTTTTACAATATTGAATTTCCCTTCTGGGATAAATAAAGTATTTTTCATTTCATTTGACACGTTTCATGTGACCCTTGGTGCAAAGTGTGGCCTACCTCCCGGCAGACAGCAGCTATCTGGGCCTCGTCCATGCAGGTCTCTGTCACCACATCTGTCAGCGAGCCACCAGCCAGATACTCCATCACCACAAACAGCTCCTCCCCCATCAGGAAACTGACACAAAGACGTATAGATAGAAAGCATTATACGCCACATAAAATCCACCTGTGCATTTGTGGTTACACTCTAAACATAGTACAATCATTTTAGACACTCCGCTTCTGCAAATTTAAGAAGCTAAAAGGCTGCAGGTTTACTCTCGTTCTCACCTGTCTAAAAAGTTGACAATGTTGGGGTTCTTCAGCTCCTTCATCACTAGAATCTCATTGATGATGAGTTCCTTCTTGGGCTGCTTTTGTAGGTTGATCTGTTTAATGGCGACCTGGCAGAATGAAAAGTCACAGATTGAGTGCAGGTATAATACATTTTAACACTTTTATTTTAAGTTACATTATATAAAACATACTAATACTTGTAAAAGAACAACAACAACAAAATCCTCCTATAGATATAATCCCATCTGTAAGAGGAATGTCTCCCCCCCACACACCTTGCTCAGTCTAATGCACTCAGTAACTTTGTTGATCTAACTTGCTCTGATCGTGACCTGCAGGCTATGATGGCTAATGATAGCTGACTTTAAATAGATATCTGACAGAACTGGGTCACTTCTGCTAACTTCATCGCACTTCTTTACTTTTTGCCACCATCACAGTATCTTTTACAATTATTTTGTAACTGTCACAAGATAGCTGGGAAGCAAAAGTTACACAGTTACACTTCATCTTTTTTTTTTTATTGTTCTCACCCCACCCAAATTCAGTTGTGAGTCAGTGTTTACCTCCTGTCCTGTGGCGACATCAATGGCTGTGAATACTGTTCCTGATGCCCTGTGAAAAGAGTGACATGACTTGAATGCATATTTGAACAAACCAACCACTCAAATTAGGCTGCAAATGTGCAGATGCACAAATAAACACTGACATATATGCTACACTCCATTTCCACTTAAAAACACTGCTTTGAACAAAGCAAATGCCCCAAAGGTGCAATTTATCAAAATTTCATCACATGAGGCTTAATCTGTGGAATAATAACTGAAAAACACTGAAACAACTACGAGGGATTTTCAAGTGAAACAATACCTAATAAAATCAATGTCAACATCATGGGTGAGTATAATATGGTTGACCTTCGGATGTTTAAAATGTAATTTTGAAGCAATAATTAGATTTTGCTGAGAAATTGAAGGTCTTATTAGTATTGTAATGGTGCTACATGTCTTTTTCACAAGCAGATCTGACTTGTTACGTTAGAAAAAGGTTCCTGAAAACATGAACAATGACTCTGTTCCTGATAAGTGTCCCAATAATAACAGTGTT